ATCCTCCATCCGTTGTTGTGCTATTGAGAGAGATACCATTCTTAGCGCGTTAAGCAATAACATCTTGCTTCACGCCTTTCATTCTGCAGTGAAATGCAACTTCATTTAAATCGTTAGTGAGTAAGTCTATGTAGGTCTTCTTTCCACAGAAAATACTTTTATAAGCTAAACTTTGTTTTCCAGGTGTTATTTCTGCAAAGTCGCTATGAAATTGACCAAGGTTCTTTCCTATAAGTTCGCGACCATATCTCTTCTTAAACTCTGCTGCAAGCTTTGGTATGTCTTCATTATATAAGTGCATACTGTCGGTATCCTGGTAAAAGATTTGAAGACCCATATCTTCAGCAGTACAGAATACTTCATTCATAATACGTTTTGACATAGACAGAATATTAACACCAAGTGGACAGAAGTTAAAGTGTCTGCAAATGCTTTTCGTTAGCTTGAAAATAGTTTTATCTGAACCATCCAAACCTTCGAACTTCACTATATGGTTGTAATTTCTTATAGCATATCTTATAGCATCTTTGTCATTTACTATGGTTATTTTTGACTCAATAGGAGATAGAATAGTTTTGCCATAAATGCTGTTCAGAATGAGTTTTATAATTTCTTGTAAGGGGTTTCCTTCTTTCTTATACTTTAACCTTAACTCAAACAACTTCTTTACTTCATCTCTTATTCTCATATCTCTGTTTCCATCGTAATAGTATCCTTGCAACACTTCACATTTGACACATTGATATTTTATGAGGTCTTGTAATGTTATATGGTCAACATACATGAGACAGCAAGTGTTTGAACTTCTTGGAACGTTAAGTTCTGGATTTAGTTCAGGGTCGCAAACTATTAAATGAAAGTGTCTGGGTATACCAATCTCTGTTATCTTAATGAGAACAAAGAAGCCAGACATAAACTTTTCACCAATGGGTTCCTTTTGGTCATCATCGAATAAATGTCTCATGAGATACTCTGTGCTTAACATTTCTTCCTTCAATACTTTTGGAATACCTTCTAAAGTATAAAGTCTTGCTATAGCTGAAGGATATAATGAAACAGTGTCGAAGTCAGCAATGAGTTTCTTTTTGCTCTTTTGTTTCATGTTATCTGACAACATACATCTTCCACCTTGAATGCATCTCGAAATAAATTCTCTTGGTTTATTTGAGAGGTCATAAAGATTTCCATTCGGGAAGTATACTCTGTTCTCAAACAATTTGTTAGCAATAGAACAAATACTAACGTAGTCATAAACGTTTAAATCAAACTCTTTCAATAAGTCATTGCGGAACTTTACAAAACCTTCTCTTAAAATTCTTACATCTTGTTTGCAGTAAAACGTGCTATATTTTTCTAAGTCGAAGTGGTTTTCATCTATTCTGCAACCTTTGATGGAATCTATGTTTTCATAAATGTATCTGCATCATGGATAAACTTACATGCTTCAGAAATGACACCAGTTCTGTTGTCATTTGCTAACAAAACACTGCTGTAGTAGTTATATGGAAATACTTCTTTCGGTCCTGTTTGTAAGTTAAACATAGCAGGAAATAGTTTAAGCTTCTTATTTATAACACTGTAAGAGTCTTTTATAATAATTGCCCGTCCTTTATATAAACCAGTTATTTGCATTGTTCGTGAACCTTTAATGATGGGAGTTCCTTTCACTTCTGTCATGTGTCTTAAGATGAAGTTTATGTCATAACTGAGGTTGTGGAAATATATTAAACTCTTGTCAGGAAGTCTTTCCAAAAATTCTGTTGCACAGTTTTGACCCCAAATGCTTTCACTCACTGAACCATCTTCACTGTCATAACAGATGTTAAAAGCTTTATGAAAGCCGTCTGTGCTACACTCAAAGTCAGCAAAGAAAACGTGCTCAGGAATGAATTTACATTTAGCTTTATTTACTTCTTTTGACTCTGCTTTCTTCTTCAGTTGTACACAATACTTTGGAGCATATGTCAAATCTTTAAATGGTGCAAGGTTCTGTTTATATAAGTCAGTAGTATATGTGAAAAGTTCTCCATAAGAAATAGGTTCGAAATATTTGCACTCCCACAATGTTTTCATAACATCCCATAGCGGTGTTGTTCTATCATAACGAACTACATATTTATCTTCTCTCTTTGTATAAATCTTCATCTGTTTCTCAATGTTCATTCCACCACACTCCTTCAAGATTTCTATATAGTTTCGAATGAAGTATGTTGTCATTGGTAATCTTTCATTTAGCATGTAGTGGTCTTCAACAAGAAGTAAGTCAATAGTTCTAACAGTTTCGCATTCTTTTGGTATATATCTCTTTATTTCATTATGTCTTGAGTCATTGAAATAACCAATGGTAACATTAAATGCTATACCTGTTGAATCGGAAATTTCTTGTACTTTACTTTGAGGAAAGTCTCTAACACGAATGACTTCTCTCATGTGGTCAATAGTTTCTTCATTTACTCCAGCCTGAATGCAAGCATAAACGAAACAATTGTCCTCTGTCATAAGTGTTGCAGTTCTTTTGTTCAGTTCATTGAAGATTTGGTAGCGTTCAAGATTTATAGGTAATGTGCAAAGATACTTCCAGAACTGACCGCTTCTCTTCTTATAAAACTTCTTTTCACCATTATCTTTCCAAAAGCTTTCTATAAGTGCTGGGTTTCCTGTTTGCTTAAGAGCTTCCAAAATGGCTTTCTGGTCATTTGTCAGTGTGCTTTCATCTCTATATGGTCTCTTTTTTGGTTTGCCTTTCTTTACATCTGACATCGTTAAGCCTTCATATTCTGTTAAATCATACATCTTTATTTCGGTAAGATTCTTTATGTTTGTCAAGAAGAAGTCATAGTGCATTTCAACAATACCTGCAGCATTTGCTTCTATCTCTGATATAAAGTTCTCCTTCAAGAGCTGATGTAGTAATGTTCCAATATTATTGAGGTTTAACGTAGAACATTCATACTTTCCACCAAGTTTATAACATACCATCCATCTCTGTTGCGAGTTTATTTTAATTTTCTCTAAGAGTCTCATGAAAACCTTACCGAAATGTTTGTGTAAGTAGTCTCTGTTTGGTTCATCTAAAGCTTCGATGTTAAAGTCAATGAGTCTATTGCCTGACTTCACATTTCTCTTCCTATTCTCTTCATCTTTCTTTAACCATCTCTCACCTTCTTTTGGTTTGTCGTCAATGGAACGAATGACATCGTTAGCTTTGCGAACTTGTTCTATAGCACTTTTAAACATCTCTCTTCTCTGTTGTTTCAGTGTGTCATCTCTTTTCGTGTTTCACCAACGTTTGCATTTGTTATGTCAAACATCTCTCTTCTTACTTCATGAGTACAGCTCTTCTTGTTTCACCAACGTTTGCATTTGTTATGTCAAACATCTCTCTTCTTACTTCATGAGGTACTGAACGTCTATGATATAAGTCAATAGCAATGTCATTTAAAGGAAATGCTCTTGCATGGACTTCGTCCTCGCCGCGTTGCGGCTTTATGAACTCATGAATTCTATCATAACTTATTGCACCATTATAGTCTTTAATGAAGTCAGCGAGTGCTTTTTTGTTTGTTGCGTAATGCTTTGCAACATCTATATTAGCTTCTGTAAGAAGTTGTTTTATTTCCGAGTGTTCTAACTTAGACAACTTCCGATACATCTTTAGTAGGAAATAAAAAAATATTTTTTGAAAAAATTAGATTAGATTTTTTTTAAGTTATTTTTCAAAATAATTTAATATTTTTATTTTAATGAAACACATGCAAGATTGCAAGTTCTTTTCATACAATGCTCTCGCTACTGCCATCAAGAATGAGTTCAATAATGCTTCAAACGTTAATGTTATCTTTAACAAGAAGTTTGTGAAAGAATCTAAGTTTGGTCAGTATGTCAGACCATTAGCTATCGTCATTGACCGCAAACGTTATACTTCACAAGAGTTAGCAGTAGTTTTGAAACAAAAGGGTTTCTTCGTGAATGTCAAAGATACACACTATACTGTCATAAAGAACTCCAACATTGACTTCTTCAGTATTGCTATGAATCTTTCCGAACAGAAAGAATATAAGAAGGGTGAAACATCTGTGAAATATTATCCTTCATCTCTGAAGACAATAACGAACAAAGATGTTATACAAAAGTTCTTACCAAAGGTTGAAGAAGCTTCAATTGACATTGACGAAGGAAGTGAAATGGTTGAAGAAATTGACCCTGAAGCTATTTAACCAAAAATATATTTTTGGTGAAGAGGTGAGATATCACCTGTTTTTTCACCTCATTCTCTCTTCGTTAATGTTGTCGTGACTTCTTCGTTAATGTTGTCGTGACTTCATTCTTCCTCTTTGAAGTTATCGAAATATTCTGTTATTTTTTCCTTCAGTAATGTTAAGTCTTCTTTGAAGGTAAGTATTGTGCAACCTTTGATGTCATAGTGTGTTTGAGGAAGAGTATTTTTGACAATTTCTTTTATTTGCTCATTCGGTGTCATTGAAATCGGTAAGTTTTCACGATAGAACCAGTTTCTGTCAGATTTATATATTTTAGCAAGGTCGTAAAAGCTTTTGTTGTTTCTTCTGACTAAATGCAACATAACCATATCTCTATCTTCTTCTTTCTCCAACTCTTCAGTATAAATCATATACTTATAACTCTTTTCCTTTCCTTTTGGTACTGAACGTGGTATTCTTTTCTGTATGCTTTTGTCTTTGGATTCAATGACTTCATCTTTTGCTTGAAGTTTCTTTTCCATCTCTCCACGTTCTGCTTTATATAGTTCATCTAACATCATGAAAATATAACAAGCATAACGAGGTGAAGCCCACATTGCTACAGCATTTACTAAAAGTCTATGAACATAATAACCTTTCAAACCAGGTGCCAAATTCTTGCGATTTTCGTACGGAATCTCTTCCCTCGGTTTTCCGAGGGAAGCAATCATATGAGGAAATTCTTCTAAAAGTTCTTTTGCCTGTTGGTTTTCAAACCAATGATATGCTTGCTTTGTAGAACGAAGAGCGTTCATTATACTTTGCATTTGATACATATCATCTTTGACTGAACGAATGAGTCTCAATTGTTTGTTATATTGTATGTATTCGTATTCTTCATTTATGGCTTCATGAACGATAGCAGTTGTTGTGTTCTCTAATGTTGACATTACTGTTCTTACATACAGGATAAAAAAATAAATAAAATAAAAACTAACTTTATTTTTTCTGAGATAAACACTATTTCTTCACAACATTAAATTTTATCCTGTATGAAATGACTTTAAAAAGATTATTGACTGACTTCGAATACTATCTCATTGACGCACTGACAGACCCTCAAAACTGTGTTGAAAGTTCTTTAAGCTTTAAGATTGAAGGTACGACGCATTTTGTCTTCACTTACGTATTGAAAGAATATGACCGTTATCATAACGAAGTGAATCAAACACTAATAAAATTTGTAGATAAAAAATTGGTTAACAATGAATATTTTAAACGTGAAGACCCAAACACTGCTGGAGATGATGAAGAATACAGACAAGTTATTGAAAAAAATAACGCAAGATTAGATGCAATAGAAAAGAAGTTTAATGAATGTCTTACAAACACGTATGAATATCTTATGCAGTGGGAAGCCAGATGGAAATAAATTTACGTCAAATATGCAATTTATAAAATCTTATGTCGACAGGCTACGTAGCACAGTGGTCTAAGGTGGTGTTATGGAGGGGTCAAGGTCTGTGGTTCGAACCGCGACAGCGCCGTATTTTCTTATTTTCTTTATTTGTCTTGTTTGTCGTGAATAAAAAGTGTCATAAAAGTGCTCTATCTTCCACGGGAATAAATAAAAAATTTACTTTATTTCTTCTTTATTTCTTTGTTCCCGTGGAAGAAGGGTTTTGCTGTTTTTTCTCAGCCGAAATCAATGATTTTTTCATTTTTGGAATCCTTAGCGAATGAGGAATCTTTTCTCTCGTGGAAGCTTTGACCTAAAATATAATTTAGGTGAAGAGGTGAGATGTCACCTGTTTTCTCACCTCTTTTTTCACCCTCGTGACTTTGTCATAACTTCTTCGTAAATGCTTTGTCATAACTTCTTCGTAAATGAGTGTAAATGACCAAAAATATATTATAGGTGAAGAGGTGAGATGTCACCTCTTTTTTCACCTAATTTCCTCAGCCGCTGCCGAGACCCAAATCTTGAATTTTCATGAATTTCCTTAAGATAGAAAAATAACGTTAGTTTTATTTTTATTTATTTTTTTATTTTGTATGTAAAGATATGATTTCAACAATCGGCACAACAACAATTCAAGCCGCGAACGGCGGGACTCTGTCCACAACAACTTCACCAAACTCGTTAGTCATGAATCCAACATCTATGTTAGTAGAGATGAAAAGCTTCATTCCTTCTTCATATACTTTCGAAACAAAAATCCAGAAGATAAAGCAAGAACTTTTAACAAGTAATTTAGACTGTAGTGCGAAAGATGAAACAAATGAACAGTATCTTTATGAAATGCAGGACATTATTGACCATTTACCTAAACTACCTGAAATTCAGCATCAAAAACTAACTATTCCTGAATTCGATGAAATAGAAGTGAAACCAACTGACTCAGTAGAAATAAAGAAGTTCATTCGAAAGGTAAACTATGAGTTTCTAGGATTTCATTGCAACCATAAGGTTATGGACAAAGATTGCGACATGGTATATAAGAATGTTTCTGACATATATAAATCCGGGGAGTTTAAGACCTACGATAACTTTGTTTCGTTAGTTGCTGAATGTGTATGGCAGATAAGAGATAAAGATAGAAGAGGTAAAATATGGAACGAACAGATAAGACCAACTGCTTTTGAGTTAAAGAAAACCATTGACGCCTTAGTTGTTTTAGCAGGTAAGGTTTCAGAATATAACGCAAAAATGAATCCGCAATGTTCTAAATGTAAAGCAGCAATTAGGAAATATAACTACTCCGTCAAAGAGATAGAAAGAATGCGAAACGACTATGCAGACTTAAAGAAAGAAGCAGAAAAGCCAGCAGAAAATAAAATGGACATGTTAGCATTTCTGAACAAAAACTATCCAACTGCTGACGATTTCCTTCTATCTGACGTCAAGAAGAAATATAAAGAAACTTTCGGCATTGTTAAAACTTTTGACATACTGACAGAAGAAATAGAAGCTACGAAATTGTTTAGGATTTCAAATATACATCGTACAATTCATGTAAAACGCTTGTGAAAAACTGGGGTGAGAAAACAGGTGAAAAAAGAGGTGACATCTCACCTCTTCACCTATAATATATTTTTGCTTTAATTAAATGCTTTCCGGAAACGTCGATGAAAATCATATGGACAAATTATATGAAAAAATTAATAATGATTACCCCTCATTAACCAGGGAAATGACGGATTCTATAGTTCGTAAATTCGATGAAATACAGGATATGTGGTTCGACAGATTCGACATGAACGATAAGGAAAAGAGAAAGAACGATAACAATTTACTTACTAAAAGAATCCTAAAATCTAAAATAGGTGAAGCTTCAACATTTAACACAGTACATAACTTTTACACCGCTGTTTATATTTTCAATAATTTATTTAACGATGAACGAGAAAGAAAAAGTATGTTTAACGGAAGAAATGAATATGATTTTATCCTTTGTGCTGTTCGGGATGTTGACATGAAACTAAAGAAAATATTCTTATTACAAGATGACACGGTTGAAGATGAAGTCAATGAGTTTTTAAATCGTGATTTAAATGAAATTGATGAAGTTATGACCGAATGTTATAAAAAGTTCAAGAGGTGAAAAAAGAGGTGAGAAAACAGGTGAAATCTCACCTCTTCACCTCAATTATATTTTTGGTGTAAATTTATGACAAAAATAAATGGTACCATTAATGATATCATGACTGTTCTCATTCATGTCTGATTTACATCCAACGAAAAAGTTTAGAAGAATTTTCTTATTCTTTCTGGCATGTTTTTATCTTTCCAGTACTCCCGCTCTAATGGTCCCAGATGAGTTGGTTTAGATTCTCTCAAGTTCTTAGATGGTATAACATCTTCAACGCCTCCTTCATATCTTACTTTATAAGTGTCATCGTTTGTGTTGTAGTCAAGTATTTCAATAACCACTCCTCGCTTTGCTTCGTCAATGGTTTCAGCAAGTTTGCCATTACTACTTTCGACTAATTTATGTCGAGGGTAAAATGCTATGGAGTCGTCAGCAGCTTTTATAAGATATCCATTACCTTGCGTAGAGTCTACGATATAATAATTTCGACTTAACCTTAAACGTTTCTTTGTCAATGGTTTGTCGTCAAGAACTACACGAACTTTTGTACCAGGAATGAGGGTAAATTGTTTTGAATTTCTGATATTTTGTGTTTGACTTAGTTTCTTTTGTATATACTTTTCTTCTTGTTGTTGTGTCATTGAATTTGGTGTATGTCCTGTTGTAGAATGTGTTGAGGAATTATATACTTCGAGAAAATGTTTCATTGTTTCTTCGGTAAAGTCTCGCTCTTGATTTAAATCTCTGAGAGTCCTTATGAAGCGGTTAATGATACCGAGTATGTTATGGTTATGGTCTTCAGTAGTGTAGTGAGTTATGTTATGCTTAATGAGAAATTCTGTGATTTCATTGCTGAGGTATGCACTGTCTTGGTCTGATGTTAAAGTACTTGGGCTATGTTCTGCTACAAACTTTTGTAAAACTCTTAACACTTCACGAGTTCCTTTATTTTTCATTGGATATGCATATGCTTTACGAGTGTTAACATTTATGAAGATGAGGAATGGTTTATGTCCTCCTTTTCTGCTTTGAATGAGAGTGTCAAATTGGTATGCGTCAGGAGTGTTGGAGTAAATTGGTAAAAAGTAGTCGTAAGGATTTATTTTTGTTTGATGTACAACATTTTTGTCAAAGAACCTTTTCACTTCAGCTCTGTTAGTAAATCCCGAACTCTTTGCAGCTTCATTGAATTTCTTAAAAGACCTCCATGGATGTTGTTCGAATACTTCTTTCAAGCTCATTTATGTAAAGTTAAAGATTTTATTCTAGGCTCAAGCGCGTTCATTGAACTCTATTCCATGCAAATACAGTCATAAATGGTGGCATATAATCTGCACCCGAGCCTGTTGGATTTGTTGTGAAAGTATGTGAATGATTTCCTCCTGGTTCAGTTGGTCGAAAAGTCTTTTTTGCTGCATTGTTATAAGATGGAGATAAAACGTCATTGCCAGCTTCATATTCTGAGTTGTATAATGGATGGTCTCTTAATGAGTGACTATGGTCGCCAGAAAAGTTTGTCGTTCCTGTATGAGTGTGCGGTGGAAGGTTTGCTTCAGTAATTTTCTTCGAACCTCCTGTTTGCTTTGAATATCTAGCACAGTATAAGAATTTATCTACAATCTGTTCCCACGTACCGAAACCCAGAACTGTTGCTGGATTTGTTGAGTTCATTGACGTATAAATAGAACCTATAGGATATAATGTTTGAAGTATTTCTGTCTTTAATGTTTGAAGCTCTGTTTTGTCGGCTTTCTTATCTAACATTGCTGGTAGTTCATATGCTTCAAAGTTTCTGGCATGATCTTCGGTATTCCTGCAACTCTTATCTAAATTGTTAAGAGTATCTTTTACGCTTGTACTTGGATTTTCTAATGGTGCACTTGAACCAAGGTCAAAGTTCAATATTATGTCGTCTGCTCTAACAGTAGTGAAGGATTTATGTGTATGGTTCTTGTCGGCTTTCTTGTCATATAAATCTTGAGCAGTGAATTTAATATTATGTTCATCCTTCATGACATAAACATCTTTACATCTAATGTTTCTCATCGTCGTTATGTCGTCATCCGATGTTAAACCTTGTGGAAAGTTAGGAGGTTTACAATATATTGCATCCCCACCAGTTTCTTCAACCGTTCCTTCAATACTTTCTATACCAACAGTTGTGAAGAAATCATGTGTATGGTTCTTATCTGCTTTCTTATCTAACATTGCTGGTAGTTCATATGCTTCAAAGTTTCTGGCATGACTTTCAATGTTCCTGCAACTGTTATCTAAACTGTTAAGAGTATCTTTTACGCTTGTACTTGGATTTTCTAATGGTGCACTTGAACCAAGGTCAAAGTTCAATATTATGTCGTCTGCTCTAACAGTAGTGAAGGATTTATGTGTATGGTTCTTGTCGGCTTTCTTGTCATATAAATCTTGAGCAGTGAATTTAATATTATGTTCATCCTTCATGACATAAACATCTTTACATCTAATGTTTCTCATCGTCGTTATGTCGTCATCCGATGTTAAACCTTGTGGAAAGTTAGGAGGTTTACAATATATTGCATCCCCACCAGTTTCTTCAACCGTTCCTTCAATACTTTCTATACCAACAGTTGTGAAGAAATCATGTGTATGGTTCTTATCTGCTTTCTTATCTAACATTGCTGGTAGTTCATATGCTTCAAAGTTTCTGGCATGACTTTCAATGTTCCTGCAACTGTTATCTAAACTGTTAAGAGTATCTTTTACGCTTGTACTTGGATTTTCTAATGGTGCACTTGAACCAAGGTCAAAGTTCAATATTATGTCGTCTGCTCTAACAGTAGTGAAGGATTTATGTGTATGGTTCTTGTCAGCTTTACTGTCTAATGTAGCTTGAAGTTCATTTATATCGGAGATGTTGTGTTTATGAGATTTCAAAACTTTGTTCGTTGCTTCGAGTTCAACTTTGTCAGCTTTACTTTTAATAGCATCTTCAAACGTTATTTTTGACTTAACTCTCAAAGTAAATCTTGGTTCAACTAATACACCGTTAACATTGAAAGTAGAGGCATAAATTTCATCGTTATAACCAAATGCTTCTGGTGCTTTAGCTACATCATACTGTACAGTACAGCTTATGTCATAACCTTTAGCACGAATGTATTTATATCTTCTTTCATTAACATTTTTTGTCTTCACTTCATCACTTCGTGTTAAATATCCATGGTAGTCCGTTATAATCTGTTCGTCTGAAGTTATATAATGAACATGGTTTTTATCTGCTTTTTCGGCTAATTTCTCATTAACATCATTCACTTCTAATTCAACTCTTCCGCCAGAACTCTTATTATCATTAATCTTTTTCATTAATTCGGTAATTACGTCATAAAGACTATATTCTGTTTTCGGTTTTGTAAATAATGAGTCAAAATTTCTTTTCATCATTACATCGCTGACATTAATGATATCACCAATTCCTTTTTCATTTATTCTCTTCATTAATTCTGCAATAATGACGAATATATAATCTGTTAATTTATTCTCTTCATCGAGGGTTATAGAATGTTTTGAAATTGAATCATTAACTCCTCTAAATAAATCAATAACTTCAGGATACACGTTTTTAATGTCTTGAATAACCCGACCAGTATCCTCGCCACTATGTGGCTCTGAGCCCGTTGGGCTCTGTTGTTCATGTTCTTCGTTCCCGTCGTTACGTGGTTTTATATCTCTAACCATCATCAACGCAGCCATAACCGGAGGGTTTGTTGCTACCTGTTCGAAAATCCGTCCGTTATGTATGGTATATCTAAATAATTTCTTTGTGTTTGTTAAAACATTTGAAACAAGTCTTTTAAAACCATCTACAAAATTTCCTGTTTCACCTAATGTTCTTGCAGCATTTACAAGCTCACCCATTCCGCTTTTGACCCAAAAACGTCCATATTGCATTTATTTCACTCTGTATAGTTGTCCATTCAGCGAAACTAACACCCGCATTCGCTAAGCTGAAAATGAAATTCAGTGGATCGAACTTAATTCCACCTTCTTTTTCAATTTCAACGAACTCACTAACATGAGATTTTAAATATTCTTTCGTTAAAATTGTTTTCCCGATGTTATGTCATTAACGAAACTATCACCGTCAAAAGTTAACGAATTCAATTTCGTCGTTGATGCTTTTATTTCATACACCGCTTTATCGATAGTTTTTGGCTCACCTTCTTTAGAAGCATATGAAACATTAATGAATGAATTATATGTATTCGTGAATGAGTTAAAATCAATGATTTTCATTAATGACGCCTTTAATGATTCATTAACTGTTGAATCCCTTAAAACAATTAATGAACTGTCCTTTATGAAAGGTACACTGCAAACCGTCGAGTTTGGATCAAATGCTGTAGTTGGTGCAGGAATATTAATGATATAAGTCATTAAATCATTAAGTGACGTAAATAATGTTGTCGTTTTTGATTTAATTTCTTTAGCATCTGTTATATATGGTAATTTTATTTCTGTAGTTTCTGAATTAAAGATATTCGCTAAAATGTTTTGTAAACTGTTTTGAACAGCAGTATAAACCGTTGAATCCGGAACTCTTACGATTTCACCATCCTTAATAAAAGGCATTGTACATGACGTAGTGCTTGGGTCAAATCTTTCGGGATTATAATTCAACATATATTCTAACGCTTCATGAACAGACTTATATACTGTTGTGTCGTTCTTCATGACAACTTCACCATTTACAATGAATGGCATTGTACATGGAGTTAAAATAGGGTCAAACTTTTCATAGTCCTTCCATGTTATGTATTTCTCGGTATTTCCATCAGAAATAACAATATATTTGTCAGTAAGTGTGAGAGAGTATTGACCAAAATATAAACGTTTAGCTCTGTCAGCTTCATACGCATATGCAGCAATACTCATATTTTAATGAGAATAAAATGTTGTTCTATTTGCAAAGTACAGACCCAAACGAATACGGGACAGTAAAGCTACAAACAAACTTAGGTCTACAGAATGAGCCACTTGCATTCAGAGTTGTTGACTTCAATACTATCGCTTCATTCGTTATAACAGATGAAACAGATTTCATGGAGCTTGAAATAGATGGAAAGAAGCATGAAATAAGATTTCACAATAATGTAGAATATAAGATGGAAACATTAGCTGGAGTGTTAAATGCGCTCATAAATACTACAATAAACAAGGATAACGAAGAAAACTTAATGAATGTTAAACTTATTGCAGGAGTTTTGAAGTTCAGTTATGCGAAGGAGTTTAAGATAACACGAATGAGTCATAGAGTTCAATTGCTTCTGGGAGCATACCATATGACATGTCCTTTGAAAAGTGTTGACAAAACGATTGAGATGAAATCTGTTCCATACGTATGTTATGGTAATTGTTTATACGTTGAGTCAAAAATAGCTAATGTCACAGGTATTTCAGGAGTTAATAGTAAAGGTTCAGTAGAATATAAATCCTTCTGTTATGCAGTCAATTCAATGTTCATTCCAAACGTTCCTGTCATAGCAACTCATTTAGGTAAATGGGTTCGCATTAGTCCTCATAATTTGAAAGACATGCAATTCAGACTTGTTGACTTTCAGGGCGAGCCTGTAGAACTGAAGGCACCAGTGCGAATGACTGTTGAAGTTGACTTTTTAGAAAATATTAAATGCAACAGCTTACAAGAGAACTCAGAGCTAAAAATATAAAGTATGAATGTTATGTATTAGGTCATGAACTTTGGTTATTGCTGTTTGATGAAACAAATGAGTTAGTTATGTCAGTCAAGAGAACAGAAAAAGGCGTCAAAGGCGCCGAGCGCAAAGCGCTATATTGTGTTAGTGAAAACTGCACCAAGTCAATAAGATTAGGTTTGCATTATGAAGATGAGTTCGATACTGTTGAAGAAGTTTTGGATAGATACTATAAGTTGCTTTAATTTACTAAAACATATTTCAAACATAATTTATATTCTGTTGAAAGTTTTGTATATTCATTCGAATATTTATACTTAAACTCAACTCCTGGAGTACCTGGTATTTCAATGATGCGGATGTTACCTATTTTCATGAATGGTGGCGTTTGACCACAGCATTCGATTTCAGGGTCGAGATAGTCAATGACACATTGTTTCCCTGTTATTCGTGATATAACATTTTCAAGGTCCTCCTTTGTTAGAATTATTTGGTTCTTACTTATAAGATTTATCAAAAGCTTCTTATCGTCTTTGAGTAAAATTGTTTGGTATAACTGAAGAAGGTAATGGTCTACGTTATCTGAAGGATTTGTTTGAACATTTATGTAAGGGTTGTCGTTGGCTTCTCTTGAAAGAATTTGGTCCAGTGGTGGATACTCTAACTTAACATCTGATGTAGCGTTAGCGTTTGAAGCTGTGTTTAAATTCACGGATTTCAGCTCTGGTTCTGGCTCTTTCAAACACTCCGAACTATAGTTCTTTATGACAATATTGTTTGTCGTTCGTGAGTCAACATTTGATGTTGGTTCAATTGGAACATTAACGGCACCAGCTAAGATGGATTTGCTTCTCATTTCATATAGAATAAAAACCTTTTATATGTATGAAATGAACAATATACTCGACAAGGGTTTGAATGTAAAGCTAACGAATGAAAATATTGTTGAATTCACTGAGACAGGTGCAGTGTATAAAGATGTAGAACTACTGAACAAAAGAGCTAAGGGAAGAAGCAGGAACATGAACAAAGGGTGGAAGCCTATAAAAATTTATGTCAATGATGGCTCAGGAGGTTCAAACATAAAGTATGCAGAAAGTTATAGAGTTTATGCTCTCAAAGGTGAAAAGCCTTCATTTAAGAACAGCTATTCTAACGCATATCCTCAAAAGTTAACGGATGGGGAAGTGGATGATATGAATGACAGCAAAAATATTAACAGAAATGGCGACAGAGATGCATGGAATTTGTTTACCATCAGTCAATTGAAGGTTAAACTTTAAAACAATGTTGGTCGTTCCCATGGAATATTTTTGACTTTAATGGTATTAGTCATGATATGAATCTCAAGGTATGAACGAGGAGAGATGAGAGACTTATATGCTTCCCAAATTTCTTCAAAAGGTAATGTTATACCTGACTGTTTCCAAATGAGTTCAATATCATAGCGTGAGAAACCTTGAAAGATAACGAAGTCAGTTATGAGACGTTTTATGTTTAAAGCAAGAAAACGCCATGTTTGCATAAGTATTGCTACAGTTAAGTGGTAATGTCTGACTTTAGTAATGATGTTAGCTAATGGTGAGTCAGGCTTTGACACTAAACCTTTTCCGGCGAAGTCGTCGCAAACGAGCAGAGTATTTGAAGGATACTTTTTGAAGGGGTATTTTGAAAGTTTTGACAGAATGTAGTTTGTAAGTCGTTTCATATCGTAAACTCCTGAGTACTGACGTAAGTGGTGTTTGTCAATAATTCTTTCCATCTCCTCAGAAGTCTTTTGCATTCCTGACTGTATAAATTCAACGATGGCATAATATTTCCTCTTACGTCGAATGTAACGTTGAAGAAATTCAATGAGTTCGCTATCTGGAACTTTAACGACAGAGGCTTGAACTTTTGACATAAATGTTTTCGCTGTTGAGTCCATAGAGTCTGAAGTTGCTGATATAATGATTTGGTCATAATATGAATCTTGACCTAAACGCTCTGTTATGAGTATATGACGAATGAGGTTAAATGTCTTACCTGACCCCATCTTTCCACAATATAAATAAACACCATTTGAACAGAACTCATAGTCCTTACTGAAAGGAAGAATGAGAGAACTGTTGAGCTTTTCACTGCTTTCATTCATGTCTTCATCTACGTCATGTATTAAATGCTTCATTTTATCTCCATTAAAAATGCAAGTCAGAAATATTCAGAACATAGCACCGAGTCTAACTGACAAGAGTATAAAGATATACTATGAACACGTTATGATGAAACCAACCAAAATTCAAGAAAGTCAGTATACTTATGAATATCCAAGACACTGGGTAGAGTATGTAGGAGGTGAGAAAGCTATTGAAATCAGACAAGTTAGAAGTATTCCAGCAGGAAGAACAATATTATTGAAGAACTTTAATGTTTTGAGGTATAATGATGAAACAAAGAAGCAAGATAGTTTTCCCATTGCTGTGTATGTGAACCTAGACACAGGAGATGACATGAAAGTTTTTAACACAAAGCTTCAAACGGTAGTGAGAGAACAACTGACTGCGGAAGGACATCCATTACCTTCAGAAGTTACCATAGCGTATAATTTTGAAACAAACTCAATAGATTTTAAAGTCGTCTCTGCAAAGAAGTCAGGTTTTACATTTAATGAAGCAGATGTATATTCGAATGAAAACTTCAAAGCTATTGCATGGTTAGATAATGACGATTGCTTTAAGAAAATATTTAAATTCAGTGACTCAACGATGTCAATAGATGACCTTCGTGGAATGTTACCATCGATGTTTACAGTAGAAGGTTCAGCAGGATTGCTTACAAGATTGTCAATTGGTGGTATTTGGTCTCGTGAGAACATTGTTATAAAATCCAGTATAAGTGAATTTGCTGAAGAATCTATATTATGTCTTTCAAACTACATGTATTCGCCGCCGAAGCATTATAGTATAACAAACTTTGTCAGTAAGTTTAACATAAGACTTGTCGAACCTTCTTCAATGAAAGATGTTGTGCTACCTAAAGATGGAAAGGATGGACTCATTATTGAGATGATTTTAATAGCATATTAAATGAGCTTGTTCTTGAAGGTCATTCATGATGAAATAACTGTTGTAGAAGATGTTAGCAATTGTTCAGACATTTTGAAGCGTATAGATGATATAAGAAAGAAGTTTATGAAGCCGCAACGCGGCGAGGACGAAGTCCATGAGAATGTTTATGTTTCATTGACTTTCTCCAGTAACGAGAACTTTTATGAGATAATATTGAAGAGAGATGATTTTAATATGGGGTAAATGGTAGCTTGGGCAGCTTTAGGCGCAATGGGAACAAAAGCATTAGCATTTGGAGCAAAAGCACTTGGAGCTTATGACGCAGTAAATAAAATGAGTGGAGGAAGGGTTTCGAAGACATTAGATGCAAATAAAGGAAAGATTGGAGGCTGGGTTGCAAAGAAGTTAAGATTAAATAAAATAGGGCTCATAAATAAAGCATCCAATTTGGTTGCGACTGAGTCGGAAAATGCTTTAGGAAAGGACGATGAGTTTTCAAAACATGCAAAAGACTTTAATGACCAGATGAAAGGTGAAACAATGCATTTAAATAGAGTCGATGGAACTCTTCCTCCACCAGCAGTTCTTCCGTATGGTCCCTATGGAATGTATGGAAACCCTTACGAAAGACCATTTGACCCATTGACTGGTGGAAGTAATTGGTATCATTACGGACGAAGAAGAAAGACAGTCAAGTTGGAGACAGACGTGAAGAAAGCAACTAAAAAGAAACCAAGGAAGAGAGTTATAAAGCAATGAATTCATGAGGTGAAAAAAGAGGTGAAAAAAGAGGTGAGATTTCACCACTTCACCTAAATTTATTTTTGCGCTATGTTTTCATACGTGTGAGGGTGGTGATATCATTAATTTTAAGTTTATTTTTTTATTTTATTTTTTTATTTTATTTTTTATTTTATTTTTATATAAATGACGAAAACTATTGAGATAACAAACTACAACGGTCATGAGTTCAAGAATTTGTTCTTCGTTCCTCGTGAAAATACATTCTATCAGATACGAGGGAGAAAGGGTAAAGTTAGTTTGAGCGTTTATGACTACAAGCATAATGGAAAGTTTATACAAGCATATGATACAAACGGTAAGCGTGTTTCATTAGCTTTGTCAAAACTTACAGGTATAAACTATGACAGTGATTTTGACCTATATGAAGAAGAAAGTGAGTCAGAAGATTATGAGCTGTTATATGAAGCACAGCAATGGGAGGAGTTGCAATACTTTTGTAAGTGAGAACGTTTATTTTTACATTAGTGAGGTGAAGTGGTTGGCGGCTTTGTAAATATTTAAGGTTAAGTTAGTGTTGTCGTTTGTATTGTAAAATATACGTTAACGGTTTTGTAAAGTGTCAAATTCACATATAATGGGTACGGTGGAACGCAGTGCCGTCGTACCCTTGATATGTATACTAACTTTTATATATAATTAAATTTTAATAAGCGATTAATATGAGTTCGATAATAATGCTATCTTTTCTATCACCAGGAAGGACAATATCTTTTAGGCTCGATGGTTCAACTAATTTTATATTAAATTTATTAACATAATTAGTTATTGAATAATGCTTCGGCGGAGAATATAAGCAGTTCGTTAAACATAAAATTGAATCTTCTGCGAACTCACTTATACTCGATTTAATTATTACTGGTTCTCTTGACCAAACGCTGTGAAAAGAAATTGAAGTTAATAAATTACCTTCTGCCCTCATGGCTATTGATTTTGGTAAATATTCTAAAAGGTCGATTAATGCTATTTCTTTTGCTCCAAAAAGAGCCATTTTCTTAAAACATTCTTCATCATTGATTCCTGTAATAGCTCTAAAATTATTATTCGTGTATATATTTTCAATCTCATCACCGACAGCACCATCTTTTAAATCAAATATGAAACCAGCTTTTGAATTTGAATTAACACGAAATTCTATTGAATTAGTTTCAAAACTATAAAACATATCAACTTCATTAGGTTGAGGATATCCGGCACCTTTTAACTGTTCAATAAGAACCGATTTAATCTTTTTATTAAATGCTGTCATATTATAGATCCAAGGTGATCTGATTTTTGCATCCCTGGGATGGACGATACACCCAAAGTGTCACCTTTTTTGGGATAACATGAATTTTAAATATCATGAGAGTTCTGCAAACCATATGCACAATATCTATTCAGCCTGACTTCTTGTATATATGAGTTAGACTTCTTAAATATTGTGCTTGGGGCGATATAAGCATTTCCGAGATTACCATCGTGCTCTATAGTATGCTACTTCTCCCTGGTTCTAGCTCAGTTCCAAGGATATTGGCGTTCAAGGATTTGGCAAGGTCATTCCGAAGTCTCTCATTCGATGAGAGATTTCGGAAGAATCTTGCCTTAAAGTACTCCAACTCTTGTTCTTTTGTTCCTAAATAGTGAGAAAAGTTATTTGACTACTTAAGGTAGAGATTATCCGAGGTCCCTCATTTGATGAGAGGCCTCGGATAATCTCTGCCTTAAAATTGTACACTTGTAGTCCATGAGAGTGTAAGTATACATTGATAGGACAGCTTTCTTCTGAAGTCTTAGATTTGATGAGAACCTCAGAAGAAAACTGTCCTATTTTATAGTAAAAGGAGTTTCAGGAGCTCCAAAGCTCCCTTTCGTAAGGATTAGGAGCTTTGGAGCTCCTGGTTCGGAGATGTGTTTCGCATCTTTCATCAGCAAAGGACATTTACCATCTGGGACTCTGTTGATGGAGACTCAGGAGCTCCAAAGCTCCCTTTAGTAAGGATTAGAAGCTTTGAAGCTCCTGGTTCGTAGACGTGTTTCGCATCTTTCATCAGAAGAGGCCCAAATGGTAAATAGCCTCTGCTGATGAGCTTCAGGAGCTCCAAGGCTCCCTCTCGTAACGATTAGGAGCTTTGTAGCTCCTGAAGGTAAGGTAGGATTGCTCTGATCTCTAATCAGTAGATGCCATGCCTCATTATGAACTCTACTGACAAGAGATCAAGAGCTCCAAGGACTCCCTTTTAGTTAGTGGGTTCTCACCATTGTAGGATTGCTGATCCTACTAATGAAGTGATCACTTAGTATACGTTTTGAATAAATTGAATTTTTTTTAGAATTTAGTATTTTTTATAGACATCACATGTATATTATAAATACATAAATATATTCTTTAATTCAAAAAATTCAATTCGGTTTTGGATGGGTATCCCAGCCCCAAGTATTCAATTTTATTCAATTTTTTAAGAATTTTGGGTTGGGATGCCCAGACCAAACAAGCTTTATATTTTTGATGTGTAGATACGTATGTGTGCATCATTGTTGTGTTATATATTATGTTTTTAATGAAAAAAATCTGATTCAAAAAAATTATCACTAATTAGTTGATAATATAAAGAAAAATAGATAAATTGTATGTTTTGAGAGTATTTATCCACATTCACTCATATGAATTTCATTAAATAGTGTCTTTTTACTCCCAAATTTATTTTGAATTATTGAAATCAAAGAAAAAAATCAGAAAAATTTCTCGAAATTTTTATTTTCAAAAAAAATTTGGATTTTATATTGAAAACTGACACCGGGAGGACGATAGGGCTGGGATTGGAGATACCCCGCTCACTTGGGAAAAATACGGATCTATAGTCATATCATCTCCTGTGTCTAAATCTATATAAATCTGTAAATCATATTGATGATTATCTCTTATTATTCCAAAGCTATATAATTCAATGGTTCGTCCTGCAGGAATGGTTTTTATCTGTCTTATTTCAATTGCTTTTTCGCCAGTGTTATAATCAACCCAGTGTTTAGGGTATTCATAAATGTATTCACCATTGATTATTTTAAACGGTTGTGAAAATATGTGCTCATAATAGATTTTAATACTTTTATCATTAAGACTGGGAACGGTATTAACAAAATTTCTGACTTGCATTTTTAATTATAATAAAATGAAACATTTATTTGAAGAGTAGATGAAAAAATGAATGAAAAATCTGATAAACTCAATAGTTCATTAATTCTTCCCTTCAGTAAGGATTATCAGTTCTGTTCAAAAGGTGTGTATTTCTATTGCGGAAAAATGGGTTCGGGAAAGACTTTTAATTTAATTCGTCATATTTTAATTACTGAACGATTAGGTCAAGATTCATATTATGACCAAATCATTATATCAGCAACTTCAGATTCAATGGATTCAACAGCGAAGACATTTATGGGTAAAGTTCAGGCATCAGTAATTAAAGTTCCAGATAGCGAATTAATTTCTTTTCTTCAACAATATATAAGAAGAAAGAAGAAATATTATGCAATAGTTGAATTTATACAATCAGGAATGCAAAAGACCTCGGAAGAAATGGAAAGAATTATTGATAAACATCATTTGAGACAGCAGGATGGTACGTATGATATGAAACGATTGACAAACTACATTCTCTCAAAACTTTCAAATATCCTTTTAAAAAATATCATCAAACACTTTATTAGTTTGTGATGATTTCGCTGGTAAAGGTTTAGTTTCAAAACCAGATTCACCATTTATAATTACTAAAGTCAGAATTACCACATGACTGTTGCAATACTTATGCAAACGTGGAGGTTTTTAGCATTAAATATTAAACGTTTAATTACTGATTATATTTCAAGGTTTCTCAAAATACGATATAGAATTAATTTGGAAGCAATCAGGTATAACATTACCTTTTGATGAAATCTGGGATGCTTATAAATCACTCATTTCACCACGTTCATATTTAGAAATTCATATAATGACTAATACAATTAATGTTAAAAATATACCTTGGGAAAGACCAACATTATTTTAAAGCTTTATTTTTAGATGAGGTGTAGTGAATAGATTCCATCCATCTCTATCACCATTTCTGTTTATATTTTTGGTGTCATTCATGTCCACACTTTCTGGATCAGTCAGTTTTTGAGGATAAAGATTAGAATAACTGTTTTTAATCGATAGTGCTTCACCTTTTAACGCATAAACTCTATTACTTTCTGCATATTTAATGTTTGAACCACCAGATCCATCATTTACGTAAATAGTAAATGGTTTATAATCGATGTTCATATTTCGACTTCTGCCTTTTGATTTCTTATTTAACACCTCAACATCTTTATAAACTGCGCCCGTTTCAGTGAATTCAACAAGATTTTCATTTTCAAGTTTCACGTTTAAACCTTTATCAAAGATATTATTCATTTTTATAGTAATAAAAGGTTTTTATTCTTTAGAAAATGAGAAGTAAATCCATCTTAGCCGGTGCAGTGAATGTTCCTATTGAACCGACGTCGAATGTTGATTCAAGAACGACAAATAATATTATAATCAAAAATTACAGTTCGGAGAACTTGAAAGATAAAGAGCCAGAGCTGAAATCCTTTAATTTAAACACAGCTTCAAACACAAACGCTAACAGTGAAGTTAAGTTAGAATATCCACCTCCATTAGAACCAATCATATCGCGTGATGCCAACGACAATCCATATTCAAACATTCAAACGAATCCTTCAGATAACGTAGACCATTACCTCCTTAATTTATATCAAACAATATTACTCAAAGACGATAAGAAGCTTTTGATAAATCTGATTAGTAAGAATCAAATAATTTTAACAAAGGAGGATTTAGAAAATGTTATATCAAGAATAACAGGTAAACAGTGCGTTATTGATTATCTCGACCCTGAAATCGAATGTTGCGGTCAGATGCCGGTATTTATGAAAATCGGTAATATTAGAATAATCGAATGTTAGTGTAAATTTTACTGACGGCGCAAAGCGCCAGGACCGAAGATCCTGACTAACTGACTGACCGTAACTAATTATTTACAAAAATAATTCATAAATGCCTTCCTCCTTTCGTACCTGTTGTCTAAATGTCATGTTGTCATCATTTTTAAAAGAAGTTAATTAACCAGGTGACACATGGTGACGTGGTGACACCTTCAGTTCTTCAAAAATAAATTTTCTTATAAAGCTTCAGGGTCTATTTCCTCATTATTTTCCTTCTTCATCATATTCAATCGTTGCTTCCTCAATTACTAGTAGGAGCTTATTGATTATATCTTTATTCGTTATTGTCTTCAGAGATGAAGGATAATATTTCACAACTACTTCACCTGGAGGGCTCTTTGAGCCCATCTCGGCGCCTTGCGCCTTCTTGAATTCTTTCTGCTGCGATAAATCTAAAACAATGCTGAAAAATTCAACGTTAGAGTTCTTCATAATCGTATAATGTGTATCTTTGATATTTACAAATATTTTCTGTTTAAGTAATACTGCTATTTCATGTGGTGTGTAACGTTTTCTGTCAATAATGATAGCGCATGGTTTAACGAACTGACCGTATTTAGATTCTTTCACAGACTTTTTATTGAATATAACGTTCACGTTTTTTCCATTTATGAATTCACCCTTAACAGCAGTAGCGAGAGCATTGTATGAATAGAACTTGTACTCAGACATTATTTTATTAAAATTAAAAATATAAATTATTTAAAAAAATTAAGTTTATTTTTAAATTATATTTTTTACGGAAAATATTTTTTTTATTTTCCATAAAAGATGTATAAAAAGCTATCTAGATTAGACCATGAAGAAATTAAGAAGTTATTGAAGAATGCTGACATTGAAGTTAGCAAAAGATATGCGACTAACAAATCTTCATTAGCTAAATACCTCAATGATTACAGAGGTGTAGTCACTTACGAGAAAATTAATGATTACATTAATAACAAAACATTTCCTTTAAATGATGTTCAGGTTAATTTATATCATAAACAAGCAGTACCGAAGGAAGTTAGGAAATGTATGATATAACTAATGTTAGTGTAGGGAAACGAGAAAGAAGAAAAGCGATGAAGAAAAGAAAAATATAGCTGTATGCAAAAGCAATTGCACAATTACGCAAAGCAAACGAAGTTATTAAATCTATAGACGATAAAGCTCTTGATGACGAAAAATGGTTAAAGAAGGATGAAAATAATAAACGCAAAAATGTTAAAGCAGGAAATAGAATCATAGATTTTAATATTCGTGAACTCAATGAAGAAAACAGAAATTACCTACATGAACGTTTCGGTAAAATGTTTATTAGGCTTCTGCAGAAGATAAAAGTAAATTCACAGCAAAAATGGATGATTTGTTATAAACTCGATGGTAAATTTACTAATTCAACATTGAATATCGAGAACATCGGAGCTTTGCTTCATCAGTTAAAGCAAGAAAACTTTATAACAGAGATTGAAGCAAACGCAGCCGGAATAATTGAAAAACATTATGATTTCTTCATGACAAATATTAAGAACCTCGAAGAAATTAAAATGTATGATTTAACTGAATATGAAGGATTAACGATGAGCGATATTAAGAAAGGTAAGCCACAGAAGAGAGAAAAAAGAGATGAAAGTAAATTAACAGCACGTCAGCAAAGATTATTAAACAGACTTAAAGAAATAGGAGATAAACAGGATATAGATGATTTTTGGAATGAAATTCTTGATGAAAAGAGAACGAATAAAAAGAGAAGTGGTGAGTTTTGGAAGTATCTTTGCAGATTACCTATAAATCTTGAACGCTATCAAATTTTCAATGAACTTAACAAAAGAACTGCTAAGTTGATGACAGAAGATAACTGCTTCGTTTATGCTTGCATTCAGGCTGGAGTTGATGAGCAGACGGTAGACCACATGCGTGAAGTTATTAGAGTTAGAGATTTTCCACAAAGTAAGATTCAGGAAATTTCTAACGCAACAGGCATAGCATTTAATGTTACCATTGGTTATTTCAATGACTCTAGACATAATGAAATAAAGAGATATATACCAAAAGAATGTGAAACTGTTCGAACTATTGACTTACTTCTTGTTGAAGACCATTACATGTTAAATGAAAGATTACCTATGACAACATATTTTATCATAAATTATAACGAAATTCTCAAATCATTAGGCGGCTGGAATATTGAGCGTCAAATGAAAATATATAAGAAAAGGGAAAATAGATTTGTTATTGATTCTACGCGAACAACTCCTTTATGGGATATTTTGAAAACATTAAGAGAGTGCAATTACTTTGAACCGTTATCTTATGGTGAACTTTTCACTTATACAACAGATTTATATAAACAAAAACTTGCACCGTTTAAAGATTTAAATTATACCCCGAACTACTGTGTTCAGTTAAAGAAAAAGTCTGAAAGTAAAGATAGTGATAAATCAAAACAAAAATTCATTCCTGAACACATTTTCTTCGCTGACTTTGAATGTAGCACTGATGGAGTTCATAAAGCCTTTAACATTTGTTATGATAGTGAAGATGGAAAGATTAGCGAAAGCATTTGGGGTCAAAATTGTGCAACAAAATTTTTAGAAAGAATTCCTGATAAAAGTTTAATATATTTTCATAACCTCAGTTATGATATCAATTTCATTTTAAGACATTTAACAGAAATTAGCGGAACACCAATTATTAAGGGTTCTAGAACAATGCAGATAACGGGAATATATAAAGGTAAAGCAATCATTATTAAAGATTCATACACTGTTATAAATAAGAAGCTTAAACTATTTCCTGAAATGTTTCATTTGCAGTGTGGTGAAAAGGAAGTATTTCCGTATCAATATTATTCAAGCTCTTTATTAGTTAATGATAACAAAACTGGCGTAATTTCTGAAGCGTGTAAGTTTGTAAAAGATATTGAAACGTTCATGAAAAACATAGATTTAATCGAAAACTGCAGAATAGATGAAAACCATTTCGATTTAGAAAAATATAGCTCATTTTATTGCAAACAGGACGTAAGGATTTTAAGAGAAGGTTTTGTTAAGTTCAGAAATGATATATTGAAAGAGTTTGATTTAAACGTTTATGATTACGTTAGCATTTGTTCAATCGCTAACAAACTTTTCGAAAACAGAGTATATTTCCCGAATGGAAATTTATATGACCTTTCAAATAAACCAAGAGAATTTATTTCACGCTGTATTCAAGGTGGAAGATGTATGCTGTCAGATAACATGAAACAAAAGAGCGAAAAGAAACTCATTGCTGACTTCGATGCTGTTTCATTATATCCCTCAGCTATTGCGAGACTTTATACTTTAGAAGGAATTCCAAAGGTTATGAAGAAAGAAATGTTAAACAGTGAATATTTGTTAAAACATTTATTCGATGATGACCAGGGCGAGCCTGAAGGTGAGAAATTCATTTCCGGATTCTTTGTTTTAATAAAAATAACCGAGATTAAGATTAAAAGGCACTTTCCATTAATAACAGTAGATCCAGAATTAAACCCGGAGCTAAAGGTTCCAAGAAGTTCTAACACATGCTGTTTAATGTATGTGGACCACATAGCTTTGCAGGATTTAATAAAATATCAGGGCATCAGCTGCGAAGTATTACAGGGTTACTACTACGATGAAAAAAGAGATTTTAGAATAAGAGATGAAGTAAAGAAATTGTTTGAATTGAGATTAAAGTATAAGAAGGAAGAAAATCCGCTACAAGAAAATATTAAATTAATTTTGAACAGTATTTATGGAAAAACTATTTTGTCCCCGATAGAGTCGAAAATTAAAATCATTGATGATAAAGATGCTGTTAGGTATGCCATCAGAAATTATAACCATATCATTAAATTTGAAGGTTTAGATGGTTCGGATAAAACTATTTTCAAACTAACTAAAAGCATTTGCAGACACTTTAACTTTTGCCCTTAGGTGTTAATATCTTATCTATGTCGAAACGTATCATGAATGAAGTATTTTGCACTGCTGAGGATATGGGCTTAAATATCTTTTACCAGGACTGTGATAGCATGCATATTTTCAATGAAGACATACCACGTTTAGCTCAATTTAAGAAAGATATGGTCGTGAATTAATAGGAAAGAATTTAGGTCAGTTTCATTCAGATTTTGCAGAAATCACAAAAGATAAACAAAGTTTAGCTTACAAGTCGATATTTTGTGGAAAGAAGACTTACATAGACCTTTTAATAAATGACATTGGTGAAGTTGCATTTCATGCACGTATGAAAGGCGTAAAACAAGATGTCATTGCTTTAACCGCTAACGAAATGTTTCCTGACGCAGTACAATGCTATTATAATGAAGATAAGAACATTCATATTCCTGTTGGAAAATATGATAAAGATTCTGAGTTCAGTATAATGAAATTATATCAAGCCCTTCACGATGGTCAGGAAATCGCATTTGATTTATGCAAATCAACAGCACCCTGTTTTGAAGAGAAGTTTAACTTTTCAATAACGACTAAAAATACTTTCATAAGGAAATTAAAGTTCTGAAGTCATGATTTGATTAATGATATAATATATTTTTATCGTTCAAGACAAAAATAAACTTTTCATATTAAATTATGTAAGCGTTTGAATTTACTATACGTAATGCATGTTCTTTTTCCATTAACATCATAAACGTTAACATATAATGAACCATTTATGTTTTCATTAATGTATAGTTCTTTATACTGACGACCGTTATAATAATAAAACAAATCTGCATCGATGTCGTAAAATAAATCCTCAAATTCATGATTTCCATAATGTGAAACAGTAATTGAATTTTCACTGATTTCATCAACGAAATTATATTCTACTCCATTTGCTTTACTTCTATTTCTATTATTTGTAGAACTTGAACACCAATGTAGATTATCAATCATATTATTATTTCTAACTTTATCGTAATGGTCAACTTCCCCAAAACTATCAGGATTATCAATCCACTGAATAGCTATTAATCTATGCTTAAGATATTTTTTACCGTTAAGGGTTAATCTTATATATCCATTCTTTTCTTCATACTCACTGACAGTCTTTCCGTTTTTCTTCTTCTTATTTGATACGGATATTTTGTGTTAATTTCGTAATCTTCATCAGCAACTAACGTTTCCCAGTTATTATTTTCCATCGTTTTATAAAAATAAAAAAATCAGAAAATTAAAAATTAACTAGATTTATTTTTATTCATCACCTCCATCAGCAGCTAAATTATAATCATCAATTCTAACAGCAGGGATGCCGGCTGGTCTAACTTGAATAGCGAAACAAGCATTTCTAAGAAATCCTAATAAAGGTTTGACAGTGTATTTTTCGCTTATATTTGTATCATCAGCTTTAACACCTAATTTATATGTAATTGGTGCCGTTGATGTTTGACCCTGTTGAAATGTGAAATCAGTTTCCGTAGGGAATCCACAGAGGAAATGAGTGTTATCGTATGATTCATATAAATGTTTAACGCTTCCATCATCAATTAACGACCTCATCACATCTTCATTAAATCCTATCATATCGTTATTTGTATTGCATGCATTAGCAACCATTTCATAGAACACAGGACCATAAGAGCTTTCGGGTTCAGCTGGCATACTTCCATAAGCGCCCATTGATAATTGAAGGGTTTCAAATTGAGGATTTTCGAAATTCACGATATAATTATCATTCTTCCTAAATAAAGCCCAAATGCTTTTAACGTTAATTGGTGTATAAGCTGCTGTGAAAGTTGCTGATGGTGAACCTTTACTGAACGAACCGTCCATAGGAATCCAGTCCATTACTTTAATTGGAAAACATAAAGCTTGTGATGTATAATGGTCAACTAATTCAGTGTAAATATTTGGATCGAGTGAAAATGCTTTAGGATGAATGAAGCAATCAATGAATTCAGCTGATTTCTTCGTTAATCTTTGTTCAACTGTTGAAACAGTAATTTCACCATTTGATTTAGAAACTGCTGTTATCATATTGAATGGTTCATTCCATGGAACAAATTTATTAGTTGGTGGGTCATAATTATCTTTTACCTGACTGATTAAAGAAGGATTATGAGCTAAAATATCTTCTACCGGCAGTGCTGTTACCTGGAATGCATCGCTACTAAATTTAACCTTTAACTGAATGTTGCCTGCAAAAGCAGGAATAAATCTAATAACTTCTAGAATAAGGAATTTACGACATGGAATCTTTATTTTAATGTCAAAATTAATTTCAGCTCCTGCAGCTAAAGGTCCTGAGATAATTTGACCTGTTCGAACTGTTCCAGAACGTTTCCATACATCTTTATGTCTCGTTTTTGAGAAAACATCAACTTTCTTTATTTGTTCTGTAGTCTGTGAATTAGAAATGATATATGCTTCTTCTCTTGCGTTATCCTGACTATAAATAACTCTTCCATTTGCTAATAACTGATATGCGCAATGGTGTAAATTGATTCATCAAAAACGCCAAAGAAACCTGGAGAATTAGTATTTGGAATTGATGAGCCAGTAATAGCTTTCCAGGATATATTTACTTTTATAGGTAGTTGTAAGGAATGTGTTATAAAGGTCTAGCATATTTTCACCTGGCGGAGATAAATTGAATGTGACCCAGTTATGATCCTTTGCGCTTCCTGGTTGTGATGGAATTTTTGCATCGATATATCTTCTATTAGTATCACCAATATTAATTGCATTATCGATTACATCAAAATATGAACGAATTTGATGGATATGTTCAGCTGGTGTAAATTCGTTAAGCTGTTCGTTTTGCATGTTTTATGTTAGATAAAAATATTTATTTAGTTTAATATTCTAACTCTTCTTCTTAGTTGAGGAATTTGTTTCTTTTGTTCAATAATTTCATGTTTTACGTTTTTCACAAACTCCTCATTAATTTTGGTTTCCTGCTCTTTTACTGGTGGGTCTGGATTTTTTGATTCCGTTTGCTTTTCAATGAAATTTACAAATTTAGCTATTAATTCTTGATTCGTTATCGAAAGTACATCGGGTTTGATTTCGGCGCTCTGCGCCAAGATGGACTCTCTGAGTCCTCCTGGTTTAGGTTCTGGTTTAGGTTCTGGTTTAGGTTCCGTTTCCTTTATCGTGGGCTTTGCCCTGACAGCCTCGCTGTCTTCCGCTTTTGTTTTAGATGGAGGAGGTTTAATATCAATTTTATCAGTTTCCGAATTCGTTAATGGAACTCGTCTTTTTCTTACATAAATTTTTCCATCTTTACTTGTTGATACATAATATAATGGATGCTGAATTCCTCTTGCATCATTTAATATAATCGATTGTCTCTCAGATTTTGATAGGCTCATATTTAATTCAAATAAAATTTTTAAATTTTGAATTTTTTATCGGTAATCAAATGAGTCAAGGATTAGATATTGAAGCCATCAAAAAAGAAATTCGTGAGCAGATATTAACAGAACTAAAGACACCTAAAGCCGAAGAAAAACCACAAAGGAAATTAAGTGAAAAGCAGTTAGCCGCATTAGCTGCAGGAAGAGAGAAGAACCCGAGAATGAAAGCAAAAAGAGAACGTGAGGTTAAAGAAAAAGCTGAAAAGGAAAAGGCTGAAGAGGCTCATTGAGCCTCATGAGGGTCGAAGACCCTTTTCCATTGAGAAGAAAGAATAAATGATATATTTTTGTTTGTAATAAATGTATAGACAAGTACCTTTAACAGTTGCTTTCAGTTCTGAAACGAAAATGTTAAAATAAATGGAAATAGAATTACATTTAAATTACCTATTGACTGGGCTGTGAATATAAATGAAAAATATATTGGTTTATCAAATATGTATATAACGCGAGGATTTAGAAAGGTTGAATTTGAGCTTGAAGTTGTTGTTATAAACGATACACAAGAATTTAAGCAAACTATTCACATATATAAATATTTCAAAGATGATACAACATTATATGAATGCATGAATGATTTTAATGAAATTTTCGAAAAGAAATTTAACAAAAACGCTTTAGGATTAAATGTGTATCTTGATAAATTAGGTGAAGAAGGAATTCATCCGCAGATTATAGACTTTCATTATGAATTTATTGAACAAATAGATGATTCACATACATGCACATTTGTTATATACTCGCCGTTTAATGAAGTAGCAGAAAAGAGACAAAGTGATTTTAGGATAAGTTTTAAAATTTCTCAGTATAATGAAGACTTCATGAATGTATTTAATTATAAACCCGGAGAAGAACGAACAGTGTTATCACCAATAATAACATATAATGTATGGGACAGAAAACAAGTCATTTTATATTCAAATATCGCTAAAGGGGTTGAAAATGAATTTATTGGACATACTAGATCATCACCATTAACAAATATTAAATATTATAAGTTATCAGGAAATAATAGAGAGTTTTGGATTGATATGTATTCTACACACGATCATAAATGCCCCGTTGTATTACTCGAAGACAGAAAGGATGTTTTCTTCCTTGAGGCTCAGTTAATGAATTCAACTATTGCAACTTTATAAGAAAATTCACAAGGTTAGAAATGAGGTTAGATATCGGGTTAGATCTACCCTAAGCCGCGTAGCGGCGAGATGGGCTCAAAGAGCCCTCTAAATTAATTTTATCATTTATGAAAAATTTAGTATATACAGAAATTAAAAAATTTTTGAGTTAATTTATTTTTAAGTTTATTTTTTTACTCTGGGTGTTAACATCTATGATAAAAAAAATAAATAAAAATTTTAACGTTAATTTTTTAAAGTTTATTTTTTCAAAAATTATTTTTTATTTTGTGAAGTGTCAAAAATTTTAACGTTAATTTTTAAGTTTATTTTTTAAAAAATTATTTTTTTTATTTTGTGAAGTGTCAAAAATTTTAACGTTAATTTTTAAAGTTAATTTTTAAAAAAATTATTTTTTTTTATTTTTGTAAATGTCAAAATATTTTAACGTGTCAAATGGTTTTTGTAAATTCTAGTAATTTGAGTACTAAGGGGTGTAGACCTTGGTACCCAATTACTAAATACTAACTACTTTGTCCGAATAGTTTAACATTCGGACAAAGTTTCTCCCTTCTTTCAATGTAATTGCTACCTGTGAGGTACTGATTTGAAGTCAGTACTTCACAGGTAGCAATATCTACAAAATTCAAAAATATTTTATCACTTCCTTAGAGAACTAGAGCCTCCTAGGTACTGAGCCCGAATCAGTGCCTAGGGGACTCTAGTTATCTATATAAAGCTGAGAAACTTTGAGGAAATTGTACGACATTTCCTCAAAGTTTCTCAGCAATTTAGCGAGGAATGTTCGTTATCATGTAGTTATTTGTAATGTGTGCATGATAACAAGCATTCCCTGCTAAAAAAGGTAAAATCTTATAAGAAATAATTCGAAAAGAATAACAAATTGCGACAAATTTTATTTGAAACTGAACCTTATGAGGTAGTGATTCAAGATCACTACCTCATAAGGTTCAGTTTCAATCGCAAATATCTCAAAAGTAAGGCTCTATTTTTTGTCATGTAAAGTGTCACCTTTTCTGTCAAACCGTTTTTATCGTTTTCGTTCATAACATTACCACTTATTGTGCCATCAGTCATAACATGTTAATAGTATAATCCATCATATTTAGACATTTTATATGTAACTAAAAGATGGAGAAAGTTATTAATCAAGTAGATAAGATTCTTCATGATGGAGCACGTAAAAATAGTAAAGAACTAAACAATGCACTCATTATGCCATTTTCTGATGATTATCCATTCTACTCCAATAGTTATCACAGCAACTTCAGGAACAATGGATAAAACAGCGAAGACATTTATGAGTCAAATTAAGGCACCAGTATTGAAAAAAGATGATAAAGAACTTATGCCTTATTTAATGAAGAACGTTAAGATGAAAGCAAAGTATTACGCTATTGTTGAGTTCGTTCAAAGTAAGTTCGAAAAAATTTCAGAAGAGATGGAACACATCTTAACAAAGCATCAACTAAGGAAACCTGATGGAAAGTTTGAGTATAAGAAGATAGCTATTTATGTTGTAAAGAAGTTGAACAAATATCCTTTCACTAAGTATCCCAGTAATTCTCTATTAGTGTTAGACGATTATGGTGGTCATGACTTATTGAATGACCCACGTTCACCATTAGCGAACTTCATCACTAAGGTAAGACATTATAACTATACTGTAGTAATTAAGTGTCAAACATGGAGACACATATGTTTAAACATAAAGAGACTATGTACTGACTTCGTTATCTTTCAAGGTTATTCTATGAGAGACTTTCAGTCAATGATTGAACAGTCAGGAGCAACAGAAGATTGGGAAGAGTTATGGAACAAATACAAAGAGCTACCAACACCTCGTTCATATATGGAAGTTCATATAGTCGCAGGAAAGACGGACTTTAAAGGAGAGTGTGCAAAACTTCCCCACTTTTTGAGAGGGACGTTTTGCAAAATTTGTTCTTTCATCCATAGAAGATTATTGGAAGATGATAGATCTATACATGATATTATATAATGTATCTACATTGTGTCCATAACAAAATTATATTGCAGGCTTTTCATTCTGGGACTCCGAGCGAAGCGAAGGAGTCCCAGAATGAAAACCCTGCTTTTTTCAAATCAAAAAACTAACTTTCGCTCTTTCAGGTCAAATCAGCAAGGCACTCCTATATAGATGTTAGATATATTATCAAACTGAAATGAAACTTTCCAGATCTGTTTATAAAATTATTTTGCAAAACGTCCCTCTCAAAAAGTGGGAACGTTTTGCAATTTTTCGACTTTAAAGAAGTGAAGCAACAAAAGATGACATTATTTTAAGAAGAAATAAATGGGTTTCGGCGATTATGTTAAAGCTGGATGGGGTAAAGTTAAAGAAAAAGGTAGCTGGATTGTTGAGAATCCTGGTCTTGCAGCTGGCGCATTAGCTCATGGTCTCAATTATATTGACCCACGTTTCGGTCAAGTCGGTGGATTAGTAGGTAGTCTTGGTGAAAGACTTGCAAAAGCTACATTAGGTGAAGATAGTGCAATAACGAAGAACCTTAAAGCATTCAATAAAGCTCTTGGATTCATATTTGTATTATTTTGGCTGATATCTTATGAACATGGTCCCAAAATGGAGAGTGGATGGCGAGGAAATGGAATTTCAACCTATTGGGAAAAGAGGCCGCGAGATACCAGAGATCAATAGTAATGAATTAAAATCGTCACTTTTTATATTTTTGACACGTAAAGTCGTCACTTTTCTAAAACTGTTTTTATCGTTTTCGTATACAACGCATAATTCTTTGATAATAGTTATACGATAAAATTGGATTGGTGCATTGTAGAACCATTAGTCACTGGTATTTTATAGCTATTAATAATTAGATAATTGTTGGCAGTTTTTTTGCATAGTTTAATGATTTATATTGTAAGAAAGATTCAATCTATTCAATCAATTTATTTCTTGCTCGAATATCGTTGATTGCATACGAAAATAAAGTAAATGGATATGATAACCTGCATTTAAATATTAATTTTTAAAAGTTTGCATCAAGATCTTAGTTGATTACAAGAAACACATTTATTTAAATATATATATAATTATTTTTTAATGCATAGAAAAGAAGATTTATATTTTAACAGTTGAAGCTGATCCTTTTGTCCAGCGCTCCATTTCAGCTTTTGAAGCCGGTTTGAAAAAATGCTCTACAAACCTTACATCAAGATAAAGTTCCTCCTTAGGCTTTGGTTGTGGAGGCTGAATTGGTGGCATTGGCTGGTAATTTTTTTCAGGAATTATTAAATTGAAATATTTCTCAGGATGTATTATTTGATCTTCTTTTAGAACAGTATTCCAGCGATTTTTAACGCAATTGTCGCTTCGTCCTTTTAAGTGAGAGGCAATTAGCGACCATTTTGTCCCATATTTCTTGACGTTTTGAACAATAAATCTGTCCTCTTCAATTGTCCATGGGCCAAAAGAATTTTTTGGAGAAATATAGTTATGCCATCTGTCACGTAATTGCTTTGGTGAAAATCCTGGCATTAGTTTGGCGACTCTTTCCAGCCATTGAATTCCCCATCTTTAACAATAACCTCAAGCTTTTTATCATCTTCGGATCCAAAGAGTCTGCGCCGTTTCAAGCCTGAGTACGTGGCTTCCATTTTTTCTATTTTGAATGCCTTCTGAAATCATGAGGTCAATTCAATTTTTGATATTTATTTTAGCACTAAATTTAATATTTTTAAATAATATTTTTAGAGATAATTATATCTAATTGAAATGAAATTTTTCAGTAATGAATATTGATGCGAGGAAATAGGCATTTGAATATTTTTGTTCAATTGAAACTAAAATTCAAGATTTAAAAAGTTTTCAAATATTGAATTCATATTGAATTTGAAAATTTCTCAAAGATTAAAATGGAATAATGTAAAGGTCATCATCATAAACAATAATGAAGTGACTAATCTTCCTCGTTAGAACGGTTTATTTCATTTCATAAGAAATTATTTTCGGAGTTTTTATTCTGACCATTATTCATTACTAATTTTTCTCGCATCAATTTTCAATTTCAACTTTTGTGAATATCATGGGGTTTTGACATTTATAATCTTTTTCCATCGTTAATTATTTTATTGCAACGTATTATTTTATCATTATTTTTTAAAAAATTATTTTTTCTTAAGAATAGAATTTCAAAGTTTCGTTGAATTTCATCAAAATTTAAGCTATTCAAAAAATAATTTCTATCCTACTATTGACCATGTTTGTTCATCTATATTTATCCCATTATTTAATTGAGTTTATTTAACAATTCATAAATTATTTCAATTTCCTTTACATAATCATTAATCTTCCATAAATTATGACCCAAATATTCATTTTAAGCACGCTCTTATTGGGGAAACTCCGAGGAAGAAGCAATATAGTATTTTTGATTGTGATTAACATGAAATATTAAGCTATATGTACTTTATTCATTTGTATTTTGCTAAATTACAAAAAGCTTAAGCAGTCTATGATATATAACATTATAGATTTTCCTTTTTTTTTAAATTCAATATTAAATTATTGATATCCATTAATCATTCCTATTCATTTTTGCAGTAGAGTATATCCTATATTTGCAATCAATCTTTTTATAGCTTACTTATAATTATTATCTCCTGATATATGATGAATTTTGCCACGTAAATATATTTTATTTGTCAAAATTATTTAATGAATATTTCTCTTTCATCTATAAGAATAAGCTGCCTTGTTGATTCTCCATTTTTAACAAGATCAAGATTATCATCCCTCAAAATACAAAAATCTTCATTCAATCACTTCGCAAACTCAATTTTCAGAATTTCAGATTCAAAAAATGTAGTTTTTCAAAAATCAAAATTCAAAAACGGATTATCTAATGCAGTATATCTTGATTCTCATGATAAAACTTTAAGAATTTGGAATCAACAGATTGCAACTGAAAATACTGGAACATTTTTCGATTGTCATTTTGATAGAATTGATAGCCATGGCAAGAATGGTTCAGCTATTTATTCTACAGTTGGTTTAGATATCTCACACTGCATTTTTGCTACAATTCGCGGAAATTATGGAGCCGCAATCTATAATTTTGGCTTTCTTAGATTGAAATATTCTACATTTGCACGTTGCTCTGCAAATTATGAAGCTGATATCAGATCAATATCAGCTGTTACTCAAAGCGTGATTATTTCAAACTGTGTCTTTTCTGAATCACATGCGGACAAGCTCTTTGCTTCATTTTTTATTTCTTCATACGGAGATGTGATATTTTCTACTTGTAATGCTTCAAATACAATCGCGATTCATTGTGTTGGATTTGGACAAGTAAACCACGCCTCATTTTATATGGATCATTCAAACATTATCAAAACGACAAGTTGCTACAACGCTGCCTTAGTTGCTGAAGATACTCAAAAAATTTTTGTTGAATCAGCCAATTTCATAAAGAATTTCCACAAATCGAATAACCCCGAGTCAGCCTCAGCAATTCTCATTTCCAATCCCGCAGGAAACGGCTATGTCCAAGAATGCAACTTTTTGGAGAATACTAACGAGCAAGGCTACATCATATACATGCAGCACCTCGAAATGATTGTTGAGAATTGTTGTTTCACGAAAGCAAAAGAAAACAGGGAAGTTAATTTCCAAATTAAAATTGTTAACAGTAAAATTAGGAATATGTGCTACACACAGACAGTAAGACCTAATGATGTATTCGGATATGTTGAACCATCAGAAAATCTTATGCAGAAACCAAATAAAGGTAGAAATGTCTCTAAATCACTTCAATTCTCAATTATGGCTAGTATTTTAGCAGTATTCATCAAGTACTTCTGGTCAAATTATGTAATGCATTATATTTTGAAGCCTTCAAAGCAGATTTTGTAATTTTATTTATTTTGCGATTTTATTCTTATTTATTTGTATTTAACTTTTCTTGTCTTGCTGTTTTTTTATTTAGCTAATTTGGTTTTAATTAAAGACGACGAAATCAATGTTAATATCTTATTTTTGTGTTTTGCTCTTTACCCACTGATATTTCAACTGTACATTCTGTTGCTATACTGATATGAGTAATTCAATAAAAACAATTCTGCGACATTATTTTTTTAGTAATATTTAAGCTGTATTTAAGTTTTGACTTAAAGAATTTATATTTTATGAGAAGCATTGAATGCTAAACTTGACTCGATCTACCAACATTTGCTCAAAAATCTTTTGTAAAAGTAAAATTAAACCATGAAAGCGAACAGCATGATAAAACACATTTATCATTGGTAAAGCTGTTGTAAACAGAAATTCATCAAAAGTGACACCTCAGAAAAGCTAAAATATTGAATTTTTGGAACTTTTGATAGAGCACGTTTTTAAATATTAATTAAAGTAAATGTATATTTTGTAAAGATTCTTTTTAATAAAAAAATAAAATTTTGAAGAAGAACACAAAATCTTCTGAAAAATAATATCACATAAACTCATATTATTTTCTAATATATAACTATTTTATATAAAAATCAAATTCAATGATCTTAAAAGCGAAGGATAAACCTCAAAATTTACGAATATAATGAGTGGGAATATAATGCTTATCTATCATAAAACCATATGAAATATCAATTTTTGCTTTACGCCTAATTTTTGACGACAATTAGCAAAAAATGTTAAATGTTAACACTCAGTCCATTTGAATATGAAAAATAAAATTGACTTTGATTAAATGTTTTTATTTATCATGCAATTCTTCTTGCGACCAAAGATTTGAATAAAATTTCAAAAAAAAGATAGCTTAAAAAATAATATACGGTAGTGTTTACTAATAGATGAATAGTATATAAATTCTATTAAAATGGATTTGATCCAAAAAATATATAAAATTTGATCATAAATAAAATCGTTTTAAATTACTTCTTCATTTAAATTATAACAATTATTTTTGGTTTTATATTTTTTTGGATCAAATCCATTTTAATAGAATTTATATACTATTCATCTATTAGTAAACACTACCGTATATTATTTTTTAAGCTATCTTATTTTTTGAAGTTTTATTCAAATCTTTGGTCGCAAGAAGAATTGCATGATAAATAAAAACATTTAATCAAAGTCAATTTTATTTTTCATATTCAAATGGACTGAGTGTTAACATTTAACATTTTTTGCTAATTGTCGTCAAAAATTAGGCGTAAAGCAAAAATTGATATTTCATATGGTTTTATGATAGATAAGCATTATATTCCCACTCATTATATTCGTAAATTTTGAGGTTTATCCTTCGCTTTTAAGATCATTGAATTTGATTTTTATATAAAATAGTTATATATTAGAAAATAATATGAGTTTATGTGATATTATTTTTCAGAAGATTTCATTCTATATGCCTATGAAAAGTACTCTCAAAACTAACTTTTTCCTAATTATAATTAAATCTAGAATATTGTATTATGCTTAGTATTATTTCATTTTTCTCATTCAATTTAGAATTTACAAATGTCAAAAAATTGAGAGCTGTCACTTTTGATGAATTTCTGTTTATTACAAAACAAACAAAATTTACATCCATTAACTTCAACATTGGTTCACCAAAATCTTGATTTTCCAATTGCCAAAATTTGATTGAACTGTCAAACGAGAAAAAAATTTTAAGTAAATTTTACTACACGGACAAACTACAAAATAATTCATTTGAATGCCATAAAAATTTTCCTTTTCAAAAACTCACACAAAAAACCTTTGTCACCTTTTCTATACAAAATATGACCAAATTACTCTGAATTATTTTTATCAATGATTTTAAGTAGCGATATACCATACATTAACAGTAAATCATTTACTGACCTTTTATCGGTTGCACACATTCAGCAACAGATATATTCCCTAAAGAAATCTTCCTTACATGATCTTGAAAGAGAAATTAAAAATTTAATTTCAAAACCAATGAAGGTTAAATCAATATTCAAGATGACTCTTGAATCTGTATCAAAGAACACTGTTAGTTTACCATCTTATGCCGAGCTATTATCTTTTATTATCAAAAATGGAACATTTATTTCAAAATCAACAGACTTAAAACATTATATTGTTCAGAAAATACTTTTAGATGCCGGAAAAACACCAGATGCCTATAAGTCATTAAGTTTAATTCAGCTTTTATATTATTTATCAAAAGATAAAGATATTTCATCAGAAACAATCCTTTCAATGTTTGTTAAATTATACAAACAAGGCAAATTTACATTCCTAAGTTCATTATACTTCTTTGCCGTATTTTGCAAAGAATTACATGATTTTAACCAGCAGATTTACAGAAACATGTACAATATCCTTATCAGAGCAAAACAGAACAAAGCACTTCCAGCTATTCTTGATTCATTCGTTGAAAATTTCCAAATCTTCCAACACAACGATTTCATCCACTCAAACAAGCTGATCGAAGCAATACTGAGCGACAATGTCGACGAATTTATCAGTGTTTGCTCAATGCCAGATTTTAACTTCAATCAGCCAGCTCCGTTTTATCTACTCTTTGCTCCAAAGCTTCCATGCCAGTCTCCATCGCTCATTGACCTCGTCGCTTTTGTTGGATCTGAAGGCTGCTTCAGGTATTTGATAAATAATGTTCAAAAGTCCAGCATAAACATTGATTCTCTTGCCAGATGTGCAGTTGCTAGCGGAATTCCAACAATTGTCCGCCTTTCGCAACAAATTGGCTGCAATGTTTCCTCAATAATTGACGTGGCCGCCGAATACCACAGAGTACAACTGATTCAGTGGATGCTTGACTACAATCCAACAACGAAGTCCCTCTCCGATGCCTGCAACATCGCGGCTTCCACTGATGACATCGTATCTCTATCAATTTTGATACAAGAGACAGGAATCAATGGAACTCCAGTTCATTTGGCCGCTAAGAACAAGTCATTTTACTGCTTGTCTCTGTTCAAGCTGTTCAACACAAAGTTTGACTCAATTGATTCAACGGGATCTACTCCATTACACTACGCAGTCCTCTCTAAAAGTAGGAGATGCGTGCAGTTGGTGAAGTATCTGATCTCTGATATCAATGCAACTGATTTTTGCCACTATTCAGCTCTAGATCTTGCAAAACTGAACAATTTGACTAAGATTGTCGAGCTTTTCAATGCACCTGCATAAGATTTATATTGTTTGTAATTCTATCTTTCTATCGGAATAAATTTTTTGTAAAAGAAACTTCCTTTTTTTTTATAATCCGTCTTGCAATGAATTAATTGTATAATGGAACAAATGGCCAAAGATATTTCATTTATTGATAACCAATCCTTTTTTTTGAAAGAAACAATTTATTGATTCCATTATTTAAAATCTTTTGGGTATGAATTTCAATTGTAAAAAAAACTCTTTTTGAATTAAAATATATACTATAAAAGAGTTTACTATCAAATCAGAAATAATTTGATGATGAACTTACAATTTCAGGCATAGCGATTGCCTTGCCTTCATAAATCTCATTCATTCCTTTGATGAGAATTTCATTTGTTTCTGTCTTATCTGAAAGATAAAGAGCTGCAAGAAGATTGTTCCAATCCATGCAAACAGCCGAACTAATTTTGCACAGACTGTTCTGAAGGAGCCAGTCCATAATTTCGTTTTGACGATATTCAATTGCCGCTTCAAAGCCATCGCAAACTGATCTAGCGCATATTCTTACAATCTCATAATTGCCGCCTGCAATTGCAGAGTGCATTATTCTGTCAGTCACTGGAATATCTGATTGATAGAACAATTTGAAGCAATTGATTGATCCAAATATTGCTGCGAGTGACATGTATGTATTAACTCTTGGCAATCTAAACGGTTCAAGTGGAGAGGCTTCGATAAAATTGTTAATATTGAATCTTGAATCAACTTCAAAATCGAGTAAGGCGTCAAGATCATCTTTCTTGATAGCGGCAACAATGGAATTTGGTAACCATCCTAGTGTTCTATACTCTTTAAATAGAGCCCAGTCATTTGCTTGATAATCACTAAGATGTTTAATTACTTTTTTGACCCATTGCTTTGGAATCATTATTGAGGTATCTATAAGACCAAACTCTGGGGCGAAGTACATTGCAAAATCTGATCTCTTCTGCTCGAGAATGAGGTTCATTATGTCATTTTGACTATAAATTTGGTCATTATAAAGACAAAGTAAAAGATAGTATGATGACTCTCGGAAAATACGCCTTAAGAGTAATGGACGAAGCTGTTCTTTGTAATAACTTTCCGAGAAAAGATTCTGGCAGATTCTTGAAATCAAATGGAATCTATTCTGTCTGATTTGAGATAGTATAACTAATTCTTCGGCAAGCTTTTCCACAATTATTTTTGTTTTATACTGTTCAGATTCTAATATTATTCTACAAAACTTGTCAACACATTCATTTTTAACAAGTTTGATGAGTGAATTCTGTATGAATATTGTGGGTTGTAATGAATCTGGAATTGGTATCTCTTCTAAACAAGAAATATCCTGAAACATGATACTATTGTTACAATATCGTTTGGTATTCAAAATTTACACTGAAATAATCGTTCATTTCTCAAATTTGAAAGAATTGAGATTTAGCATCGTTTTATCGCAAATCAAGAATCATAATTAGGGAACACATTTGGTTAATATTTAGATTATTTTAAATTTGAATAGGTTTTGGAGAAATCATAATTTGATCTGAACGAATTAATAATTTGTTCAATAAGCATAATATTTTAGATTAAAGTTTATTCAGAAAAAAATATTGTTTTAATTCAAATTATGAAATCGAGATTTCATTCGTAGCAATTTAATTCAATAAACATATATATCTAAATTATCATGATTTTAGAGCTCCTGGTCAATTCAATTGAATTTGAATTAATCTGAATTGAATTTATAGAAACATCCATTGTTTAATAGAGGAACATTAAAAGTATTTAGAGCGAAAGCTTACAATTAATAATAGTAAATAGCATTTTGGACAAAATGAAAAATTTCAAAAAAATTGAATATCGAGATTATGTTATGATAATTATGGGATTGTGAAAAAACAGCAAATATAGTTTAAAAACACAAAAAACACTGCTCTGCATATCATATGCCGAATTTTCAAGTCATTTTATTCAGACAATAAAATAAAAGTACATTTTAATAAATACAAGTTTAGTAAAAGAATTATTTCAAGTAAGCTTGTTTGGCCGAGCGGTCTAAGGCGCTAGTTTTAGGCACTAGTCCGAAAGGGCGTGGGTTCGAACCCCACAGCAAGCATTCCTTTTTATCTTTTTGAATGAAAAATATCAGAATAACATGTAAATAGCCATTTCCACAACACAGCTAATCTCAGCAGAGTTAATAATTCTAATCTTTTATTCGCTCCAACCTTATTTATATGTTCAAGTTTAATATTAAATAAAGTAATACAAATTCAATATGAATGTGGATGTCAATCCTTCTAATATTGATATCAAAAATGGAATTCTAGGTCTGCTAAGATAAGGAATGTTTATATTAAACAAGTATATTGAAAAAAAGCAAAAACAAATGGATTTTTGCATATTGATTGGGGTACAGTGTACAAAAATTAGTAATAACATAAAAGTCCAACCATGAAATATAGTGTCCATGCTCTCTATGATTATCTACTAGAGAAGTCTCTGTTAAACGAAAATATCTGAAGAATACAGTCGTTTCGAAACAATATTCGGCATAAATGCTAGTGTCATTTATTCTCCTTGACTGTGTTTCTTGGAAAAGTGTATAAAAAGTCATATTATCAATCGAAAATCCTAACTCATAAGAAGGAGGGTGTTTAGACCATGGGTATCCAGAAGTGCTAGTACCTCGGATTTTCATTCCTTTAATAAAATATTTATTTTTTAAATCAATAAATAAATAGTTGTTAGGTACAGTGTACATATACCACACATTACTATCATCGTATTCGCATAGCAATGGTAAACCTGTTTGATACCGATTTGTATTATCCCATGAAGGAATAAAAGATTGATATTGATAAATACCAACGATATCTTTTTTAACTAAATCTCTGCCATGAATCGACCTAAGATGCTTGAATAGAGATTCAGAGCCGATTTGCTATTTATTCAAATTCAAATAAAATGTTAATTTTAAGGGGAAAAAAATTATAAATTTAGTGGTATAAATTTATAATTTCCCCTAATGTATGCAAAGCGATTTCCTTTTCATTGAAGAGATCCTTCTCTGTAAATTCGAGCTTCTCTCTGAGCCAGTCATTGACTTTGTAAGTTTCAACGACGTGGACATTTCCATCTTTATCAACTGTGCATGGGAGAGAGAAAACAACACCTGGCTTCAAACCATATTTGTTGTTTTCTGGGACTGGGATTCCCATGCTCAATACCTCTCCTGGTTTGGTTCCGAAAAGCCAAGCTTTCATATGCTGAATTGAAGCTTTTGTAGGAGATGCAGCACTACTGAAGCCTCTGTACTCAACAATATCCCAACCTCTGTGAGAAATGAATTTGCAAGAAACTGCGAATCGGAGCGCAATTTTTTAATATGTTAATATATAAAGGTACCCCTACTACTGCAAATGCTTCAAATGAAAATCTAAGAAATCAGATTAATTTGATCACATTAGTATAGTATTGGTCAAACCAAAAATTCATATGTTGATATATAGCCTATAGATATTCATATTATCTACTTTTCATTGAATTACATAAGATTTAATAATCTCATAAATATTCTTTTTAATTTTCCGAATTCCGTGTGCATTTAGATTGCCTATACCTGTATATAATAATTCTAGAATGGTTTGGTTAGATATTAAGTTTTTTAGATTAATATTTTAACATTTTGATAAAACAAGCATTTGTTCCATTTTAGAATCGCCATTGAACTCTAGTTTGACTAACATGATGTTAGATCAAATAAATTCTAACTTCATGAGATAAATTTTGAAATTAGAAAATGCGATATCTGACTCAAATATTTATCTGAAACACATTTAACATTCAATGATAAACTAAAGTACTATACAGCAGATTCGATTTGGCTTATATTTTATATAATCAACAAATAATCCTATAAAATTGTGCTATTCACGTTGCTCAAAGATGTATTGAACATTCCCTACTTGTGTATTGATAAAATTAGATATAGATTCTAATGTAAATCGATATTTTGAAAATTCATATATATTTTGTCTTGGTTTGGCATTTGATCGTGTTGAAACCGGAATTGCAATATATATCATCTAAATATATAACTATCAAAATATGAGCTATAGATTTTTAAATTATTCTCCTGAATATGAGTGACTAACATAATTATATTGAATTGAGTAGTAAGAATCATAAATATTAGAATCTGACGATAATTTATTATAACTTTATATAGGAACAAGATTATAAATGATGATGAAAATAAAGATTAAATTTAAATCTGAAAATTAAAACATTAAGTGTATATGATAGCATTACAAAATTAAATTTTATGTGGAAGAGGAAATAGAGGAATATAAGTATTATGAGAAAATAATAAGATATAAAAACAAGATTCTATTAAATGAGTTAATTTATAGAAAGGAATAACAGTGTGAATGTAGTAAATGAATGTTTTCATGATGTATTTTATTAAATCTTAAGTTTTGTTAAGAAGATAATAAGGGAATCAAATTTTGTATTAGGAAGTTTGACCGACAAGAGTGTATTATGCACTCTTGTCGGTCTGCATGTCTCATTCCGGGAGACATTGTCACTGCATGTCTCCCAGAATGAGACAATCTTCCGCATTCATAACTTGAATGCGGAAGTTTGACCGACAAGAGTGTATTATGCACTCTTGTCGGTCGCAGTGTCTCATTCCGGGAGACATTGTCACTGCATGTCTCCCAGAATGAGACAATCTTCCGCATTCATAACTTGAATGCGGAAGTTTGACCGACAAGAGTGCACAATGCACTCTTGTCGATCTAAATGTATCTTACAATCAAAGACACTTTCATACAATCTTTTCGAAGTTAAAAAAAAATTTAATTATTTCTTTCTTTTGTTTATTAAATCGCCTTACTCACGTACTAATCTCTTTTAGAGACTCTATCGAGCTATCCCCACATATAAACCTGTGACAATAATACATATTTACTCTCTTCATATTCTGATCTCATGACACATTATCGCAAAAACTATAATTATACAACACATCTCATAAAGTCTCATTTTAGCCCTATCTAAGCGTTCAAAACCTATTTTCCACACGTAATCTGATTCTTCTGGCTCCGCTGATTCGATTTCTGCTGTCAGATCGTGAAGATATGCATCACATAAAGAGATAAACACAACTCAAAATTATTGCTTTTTTTTTCAAATTGTCTATTCATCCATCTTTACATATTTATTATCTCCTCCGTTTCCCCTCACAAATTCTTTTAATTTTCTGAATAATACGTATAATAAAATGAATATCTCAAAAACTAAACTATTTATTTGCTGTACTTTTGATGTTAAGCTAAAATACAAAATATTACAAGTCGATGAAATATATTTTTTGAAAGGAAAAAGGTACTTCTCAATTTTCAATTTATAATTGGCCTTTAAAATTTTTAAGCATTTTTATATGGTAGAACCAGCTCGTGTACTTATTACAGGTGCTGCAGGACAGATAGGATATGTCCTCTCTCATTGGATTGCAAGTGGTGAATTATATGGTGAAAGACCAGTAATTTTGCATTTGTTTGATATTCCTGTTGCTCAAAATCGATTAACAGCTCTTACAATGGAATTACAAGATTGTGCATTCCCGCATTTAGCCGGTTATGTTGCTACAACTGAGCCCGAACAGGCTTTCAAGGATATTGATTGTGCTTTTCTCGTTGCATCTGTTCCTATGAAATCTGGTCAAATCAGAAGCGACTTAATTGGTTCAAACTCCATTATTTTCAAAAATACTGGCGAATGGCTTTCGCAATACGCAAAGCCTACCGTTAAAGTTTTAGTTATCGGTAACCCTGATAACACTAATGCAGAAATTGCACTCTTACATGCCAAGAACTTGAAACCAGAGAACTTCAGCTCTCTTTCCCTTCTTGATCAAAACAGAGCTTATCATGCAATCGCGGAAAAGCTTGGTGTCAAGGTTACAGATCTCCATGACATTGTTGTATGGGGTAATCATGGTGAATCCATGGTTGCTGATCTCACACAAGCAACTTTCGAAAAAGACGGAAAAATCCAAAAAGTAACAGATGTTTTAGATGAAAAATATAGAGAAGAGACATTCTTTAAGTTCATTTCTCACAGAGGTTGGGATATTGTTGAGTACAGAGGCTTCAGTAGTGCTGCATCTCCTACAAAAGCTTCAATTCAGCATATGAAAGCTTGGCTTTTCGGAACCAAACCAGGAGAGGTATTGAGCATGGGAATCCCAGTCCCAGAAAACAACAAATATGGTTTGAAGCCAGGTGTTGTTTTCTCTCTCCCATGCACAGTTGATAAAGATGGAAATGTCCACGTCGTTGAAACTTACAAAGTCAATGACTGGCTCAGAGAGAAGCTCGAATTTACAGAGAAGGATCTCTTCAATGAAAAGGAAATCGCTTTGCATACATTAGGGGAAATTATAAATTTATACCACTAAATTTATAATTTTTTTCCCCTTAAAATTAACATTTTATTTGAATTTGAATAAATAGCAAATCGGCTCTGAATCTCTATTCAAGCATCTTAGGTCGATTCATGGCAGAGATTTAGTTAAAAAAGATATCGTTGGTATTTATCAATATCAATCTTTTATTCCTTCATGGATAATACAAATCGGTATCAAACAGGTTTACCATTGCTATGCGAATACGATGATAGTAATGTGTGGTATATGTACACTGTACCTAACAACTATTTATTTATTGATTTAAAAAATAAATATTTTATTAAAGGAATGAAAATCCGAGGTACTAGCACTTCTGGATACCCATGGTCTAAACACCCTCCTTCTTATGAGTTAGGATTTTCGATTGATAATATGACTTTTTATACACTTTTCCAAGAAACACAGTCAAGGAGAATAAATGACACTAGCATTTATGCCGAATATTGTTTCGAAACGACTGTATTCTTCAGATATTTTCGTTTAACAGAGACTTCTCTAGTAGATAATCATAGAGAGCATGGGCACTATATTTCATTGGTTGGACTTTTATGTTATTACTAATTTTTGTACACTGTACCCCAATCAATATGCAAAAATCCATTTGTTTTTGCTTTTTTTCAATATACTTGTTTAATATAAACATTCCTTATCTTAGCAGACCTAGAATTCCATTTTTGATATCAATATTAGAAGGATTGACATCCACATTCATATTGAATTTGTATTACTTTTTTTAATATTAAACTTGAACATATAAATAAGGTTGGAGCGAATAAAAGATTAGAATTATTAACTCTGCTGAGATTAGCTGTGTTGTGGAAATGGCTATTTACATGTTATTCTGATATTTTTCATTCAAAAAGATAAAAAGGAATGCTTGCTGTGGGGTTCGAACCCACGCCCTTTCGGACTAGTGCCTAAAACTAGCGCCTTAGACCGCTCGGCCAAACAAGCTTACTTGAAATAATTCTTTTACTAAACTTGTATTTATTAAAATGTACTTTTATTTTATTGTCTGAATAAAATGACTTGAAAATTCGGCATATGATATGCAGAGCAGTTTTTTGTGTTTTTTAAACTATATTTGCTGTTTTTTCACAATCCCATAATTTATCATAACATAATCTCGATATTCAATTTTTTTGAAATTTTTCATTTTGTCCAAAATGCTATTTACTATTATTAATTGTAAGCTTTCGCTCTAAATACTTTTAATGTTCCTCTATTAAACAATGGATGTTTCTATAAATTCAATTCAGATTAATTCAAATTCAATTGAATTGACCAGGAGCTCTAAAATCATGATAATTTAGATATATATGTTTATTGAATTAAATTGCTACGAATGAAATCTCGATTTCATAATTTGAATTAAAACAATATTTTTTCTGAATAAACTTTAATTAAAATATTATGCTTATTGAACAAATTATTAATTCGTTCAGATCAAATTATGATTTCTCCAAAACCTATTCAAATTTAAAATAATCTAAATATTAAACAAATGTGTTCCCTAATTATGATTCTTGATTTGCGATAAAACGATGCTAAATCTCAATTCTTTCAAATTTGAGAAATGAACGATTATTTCAGTGTAAATTTTGAATACCAAACGATATTGTAACAATAGTATCATGTTTCAGGATATTTCTTGTTTAGAAGAGATACCAATTCCAGATTCATTACAACCCACAATATTCATACAGAATTCACTCATCAAACTTGTTAAAAATGAATGTGTTGACAAGTTTTGTAGAATAATATTAGAATCTGAACAGTATAAAACAAAAATAATTGTGGAAAAGCTTGCCGAAGAATTAGTTATACTATCTCAAATCAGACAGAATAGATTCCATTTGATTTCAAGAATCTGCCAGAATCTTTTCTCGGAAAGTTATTACAAAGAACAGCTTCGTCCATTACTCTTAAGGCGTATTTTCCGAGAGTCATCATACTATCTTTTACTTTGTCTTTATAATGACCAAATTTATAGTCAAAATGACATAATGAACCTCATTCTCGAGCAGAAGAGATCAGATTTTGCAATGTACTTCGCCCAGAGTTTGGTCTTATAGATACCTCAATAATGATTCCAAAGCAATGGGTCAAAAAAGTAATTAAACATCTTAGTGATTATCAAGCAAATGACTGGGCTCTATTTAAAGAGTATAGAACACTAGGATGTTACCAAATTCCATTGTTGCCGCTATCAAGAAAGATGATCTTGACGCCTTACTCGATTTTGAAGTTGATTCAAGATTCAATATTAACAATTTTATCGAAGCCTCTCCACTTGAACCGTTTAGATTGCCAAGAGTTAATACATACATGTCACTCGCAGCAATATTTGGATCAATCAATTGCTTCAAATTGTTCTATCAATCAGATATTCCAGTGACTGACAGAATAATGCACTCTGCAATTGCAGGCGGCAATTATGAGATTGTAAGAATATGCGCTAGATCAGTTTGCGATGGCTTTGAAGCGGCAATTGAATATCGTCAAAACGAAATTATGGACTGGCTCCTTCAGAACAGTCTGTGCAAAATTAGTTCGGCTGTTTGCATGGATTGGAACAATCTTCTTGCAGCTCTTTATCTTTCAGATAAGACAGAAACAAAATGAAATTCTCATCAAAGGAATGAATGAGATTTATGAAGGCAAGGCAATCGCTATGCCTGAAATTGTAAGTTCATCATCAAATTATTTCTGATTTGATAGTAAACTCTTTTATAGTATATATTTAATTCAAAAAGAGTTTTTTTTACAATTGAAATTCATACCAAAAGATTTTAAATAATGGAATCAATAAATTGTTTCTTTCAAAAAAAAGGATTGGTTATCAATAAATGAAATATCTTTGGCCATTTGTTCCATTATACAATTAATTCATTGCAAGACGGATTATAAAAAAAAAAGGAAGTTTCTTTTACAAAAAATTTATTCGATAGAAAGATAGAATTACAAACAATATAAATCTTATGCAGGTGCATTGAAAAGCTCGACAATCTTAGTCAAATTGTTCAGTTTTGCAAGATCTAGAGCTGAATAGTGGCAAAAATCAGTTGCATTGATATCAGAGATCAGATACTTCACCAACTGCACGCATCTCCTACTTTTAGAGAGGACTGCGTAGTGTAATGGAGTAGATCCCGTTGAATCAATTGAGTCAAACTTTGTGTTGAACAGCTTGAACAGAGACAAGCAGTAAAATGACTTGTTCTTAGCGGCCAAATGAACTGGAGTTCCATTGATTCCTGTCTCTTGTATCAAAATTGATAGAATACGATGTCATCAGTGGAAGCCGCGATGTTGCAGGCATCGGAGAGGGACTTCGTTGTTGGATTGTAGTCAAGCATCCACTGAATCAGTTGTACTCTGTGGTATTCGGCGGCCACGTCAATTATTGAGGAAAACATTGCAGCCAATTTGTTGCGAAAGGCGGACAATTGTTGGAATTCCGCTAGCAACTGCACATCTGGCAAGAGAATCAATGTTTATGCTGGACTTTTGAACATTATTTATCAAATACCTGAAGCAGCCTTCAGATCCAACAAAAGCGACGAGGTCAATGAGCGATGGAGACTGGCATGGAAGCTTTGGAGCAAAGAGTAGATAAAACGGAGCTGGCGATGATGAAGTTAAAATCTGGCATTGAGCAAACACTGATAAATTCGTCGACATTGTCGCTCAGTATTGCTTCGATCAGCTTGTTTGAAAAACGTTGTGTTGAGAAGATTTGGAAATTTTCAACGAATGAATCAAGAATAGCTGGAAGTGCTTTGTTCTGTTTTGCTCTGATAAGGATATTGTACATGTTTCTGTAAATCTGCTGGTTAAAATCATGTAATTCTTTGCAAAATACGGCAAAGAAGTATAATGAACTTAGGAATGTAAATTTGCCTTGTTTGTATAATTAACAAACATTGAAAGGATTGTTTCTGATGAAATATCTTTATCTTTTGATAAATAATATAAAAGCTGAATTAAACTTAATGACTTATAGGCATCTGGTGTTTTTCCGGCATCTAAAAGTATTTTCTGAACAATATAATGTTTTAAGTCTGTTGATTTTGAAATAAATGTTCCATTTTTGATAATATAAAAGATAATAGCTCGGCATAAGATGGTAAACTAACAGTGTTCTTGATACAGATTCAAGAGTCATCTTGAATATTGATTAACCTTCATTGGTTTTGAAATTAAATTTTTAATTTCTCTTTCAAGATCATGTAAGGAAGATTTCTTTAGGGAATATATCTGTTGCTGAATGTGTGCAACCGATAAAAGGTCAGTAAATGATTTACTGTTAATGTATGGTATATCGCTACTTAAAATCATTGATAAAAATAATTCAGAGTAATTTGGTCATATTTTGTATAGAAAAGGTGACAAAGGTTTTTTGTGTGAGTTTTTGAAAAGGAAAATTTTTATGGCATTCAAATGAATTATTTTGTAGTTTGTCCGTGTAGTAAAATTTACTTAAAATTTTTTCTCGTTTGACAGTTCAATCAAATTTTGGCAATTGGAAAATCAAGATTTTGGTGAACCAATGTTGAAGTTAATGGATGTAATTTTGTTTTTGTAATAAACAGAAATTCATCAAAAGTGACAGCTCTCAATTTTTTGACATTTGTAAAATTCTAAATTGAATGAGAAAAATGAAAATAATACTAAGCATAATACAATATTCTAGATTTAATTATAATTAAGAAAAGTTAGTTTTGAGAGTACTTTTCATAGGCATATAGAATGAAATCTTCTGAAAAATAATATCACATAAACTCATATTATTTTCTAATATATAACTATTTTATATAAAAATCAAATTCAATGATCTTAAAAGCGAAGGATAAACCTCAAAATTTACGAATATAATGAGTGGGAATATAATGCTTATCTATCATAAAACCATATGAAATATCAATTTTTGCTTTACGCCTAATTTTTGACGACAATTAGCAAAAAATGTTAAATGTTAACACTCAGTCCATTTGAATATGAAAAATAAAATTGACTTTGATTAAATGTTTTATTTATCATGCAATTCTTCTTGCGACCAAAGATTTGAATAAAACTTCAAAAAATAAGATAGCTTAAAAAATAATATACGGTAGTGTTTACTAATAGATGAATAGTATATAAATTCTATTAAAATGGATTTGATCCAAAAAAATATAAAACCAAAAATAATTGTTATAATTTAAATGAAGAAGTAATTTAAAACGATTTATTTATGATCAAATTTTATATATTTTGGATCAAATCCATTTTAATAGAATTTATATACTATTCATCTATTAGTAAACACTACCGTATATTATTTTTTAAGCTATCTTATTTTTTGAAATTTTATTCAAATCTTTGGTCGCAAGAAGAATTGCATGATAATATAAAAACATTTAATCAAAGTCAATTTTATTTTTCATATTCAAATGGACTGAGTGTTAACATTTAACATTTTTTGCTAATTGTCGTCAAAAATTAGGCGTAAAGCAAAAATTGATATTTCATATGGTTTTATGATAGATAAGCATTATATTCCCACTCATTATATTCGTAAATTTTGAGGTTTATCCTTCGCTTTTAAGATCATTGAATTTGATTTTTATATAAAATAGTTATATATTAGAAAATAATATGAGTTTATGTGATATTATTTTTCAGAGAATTTTGTGTTCTCTTTCAAAATTTTATTTTTTTATTAAAAAGAATCTTTACAAATATTACATTTACTTTAATTTAATATTTAAAAACGTGCTCTATCAAAAGTTCCAAAAATTCAATATTTTAGCTTTTCTGAGGTGTCACTTTTGATGAATTTCTGTTTACAACAGCTTTACCAATGATAAATGTGTTTTATCATGCTGTTCGCTTTCATGGTTTAATTTTACTTTTACAAAAGATTTTTGAGCAAATGTTTGGTAGATCGAGTCAAGTTTAGCATTCAATGCTTCTCATAAAATATAAATTCTTTAAGTCAAAACTTAAATACAGCTTAAATATTACTAAAAAAATAATGTCGCAGAATTGTTTTTATTGAATTACTCATATCAGTATAGCAACAGAATGTACAGTTGAAATATCAGTGGGTAAAGAGCAAAACACAAAAATAAGATATTAACATTGATTTCGTCGTCTTTAATTAAAACCAAATTAGCTAAAAAAAAAAACAGCAAGACAAGAAAAGTTAAATACAAATAAATAAGAATAAAATCGCAAAATAATAAATAAATAAAATTACAAAATCTGCTTTGAAGGCTTCAAAATATAATGCATTACATAATTTGACCAGAAGTACTTGATGAATACTGCTAAAATACTAGCCATAATTGAGAATTGAAGTGATTTAGAGACATTTCTACCTTTATTTTTGTTTCTGCATAAGATTTTCTGATGGTTCAAACTATCCGAATACATCATTAGGTCTTACTGTCTGTGTGTAGCACATATTCCTAATTTTACTGTTAACAATTTTAATTGGAAATTAACTTCCCTGTTTTCTTTTTGCTTTTGTGAACAAACAATTCTCAACAATCATTTCGAGGTGCTGCATGTATATGATGTAGCCTTGCTCGTTAGTATTCTCAAAAAGTTGCATTCTTGGACATAGCCGTTTCCTGCGGGATTGGAAATGAGAATTGCTGAGGCTGACTCGGGTTATTCGATTTGTGGAAATTCTTTATGAAAATTGGCTGATTCAACAAAAATTTTTTGAGTATCTTCAGCAACTAAGGCAGCGTTGTAGCAACTTGTCGTTTTGATTAATGTTTGAATGATCCATATAAAATGAGGCGTGGTTACTTGTCCAAATCCAACACAATGAATCGCGATTGTATTTGAAGCATTACAAGTAGAAATATCACATCTTCCGTATGAGAAATAAAAAAAATGAAGCCAAAGAGCTTGTTCCGCATGTGATTCAGAAAAGACACAGTTTGAAATAATCACGCTTTGATAACAGCTGATATTGATCTGATATCAGCTTTCATTATTTGCGAGCAACGTGCAAATGTAGAATATTTCAATCTAAGAAAGCCAAAATTATAGATTGCGGCTCCATAATTTCCGCGAATTGTAGCAAAAATGCAGTGTGAGATATCTAAACCAACTGTAGAATAAATAGCTGAACCATTCTTGCCATGGCTATCAATTCTATCAAAATGACAATCGAAAAATGTTCCAGTATTTTCAGTTGCAATCTGTTGATTCCAAATTCTTAAAGTTTTATCATGAGAATCAAGATATACTGCATTAGATAATCCGTTTTTGAATTTTGATTTTTGAAAAACTACATTTTTTTAATCTGAAATTCTGAAAATTGAGTTTGCGAAGTGATTGAATGAAGATTTTTGTATTTTGAGGGATGATAATCTTGATCTTGTTAAAAATGGAGATCAACAAGGCAGCTTATTCTTATAGATGAAAGAGAAATATTCATTAAATAATTTTGACAAATAAAATATATTTACGTGGCAAAATTCATCATATATCAGGAGATAATAATTATAAGTAAGCTATAAAAAGATTGATTGCAAATATAGGATATACTCTACTGCAAAAATGAATAGGAATGATTAATGGATATCAATAATTTAATATTGAATTTAAAAAAAAAGGAAAATCTATAATGTTATTATATCATAGACTGCTTAAGCTTTTTTGTAATTTAGCAAAATACAAATGATAAAGTACATATAGCTTAATATTTCATTGTTAATCACAATCAAAAATACTATATTGCTTCTTTCCTCGGAGTTTCCCCAATAAGAGCGTGCTTAAATGAATATTTGGGTCATAATTTATGGAAGATTAATGATTATGTAAAGGAAATTGAAATAATTTATGAATTGTTTAAAACTCAATTAAATAATGGGATAAATATAGATGAACAAACATGGGCAATATAGGATAGAAATTATTTTTTGATAGCTTAAATTTTGATGAAATTTCAACGAAACTTTGAAATTCTATTCTTAAGAAAAAATAATTTTTTTAAAAAATAATGATAAAATAATACGTTGCAATAAAATAATAACGATGGAAAAGATTATAAATGTCAAAAACCCATGATATTCACAAAGTTGAAATTGAGAAATTTGATGCGAGAAAAAATTTAGTAATGAATAATGGTCAGAAAATAAAAACTCCGAAATAATTTCTTATGAAATGAAATAAACGTTCTAACGAGGAAGATTAGTCACTTCATTATTGTTTATGATGATGACCTTTACATTATTCCATTTTAATCTTTGAGAAATTTTTCAAATTCAATATGGAATCAATATTTGAAAACTTTTAAATCTTGAATTTTTAGTTTTCAATTGAACAAAAATATTCAAATGCCTATTTCCTCGCATCAAATATCATTACTGAAAAATTTCATTTCAATTAGATATAATTATCTCTAAAAATATTATTTAAAAATATTAAATTTAGTGCTAAAATAAATATCAAAAATTGAATTGACCTCATGATTTCAGAAGGCATTCAAATAGAAAAAATGGAAGCCACGTACTCAGGCTTGAAACGGCGCAGACTCTTTGGATCCGAAGATGATAAAAAGCTTGAGGTTATTGTTAAAGATGGGGAATTCAATGGCTGGAAAGAGTCGCCAAACTAATGCCAGGATTTTCACCAAAGGCAATTACGTGACAGATGGCATAACTATATTTCTCCAAAAAATTCTTTTGGCCATGGACAATTGAAGAGGACAGATTTATTGTTCAAAACGTCAAGAAATATGGGACAAAATTGCGTCGCTAATTGCCTCTCACTTAAAAGGACGAAGCGACAATTGCGTTAAAAATCGCTGGAATACTGTTCTAAAAGAAGATCAAATAATTACATCCTGAGAAAATATTTCAATTTAATAATTCCTGAAAAAAATTACAGCCAATGCACCAATTCAGCCTCCACAACCAAAAGCCTAAGGAGGAACTTTATCTTGATGTAAGGTTTGTAGAGCATTTTTTAAACCGGCTTCAAAAAGCTGAAATGGAGCGCTGGACAAAAGGATCAGCTTCAACTGTATAAAATATAAATCTTCTTTTCTATGCATTAAAAAAATAATTATATATATATTTAAATAATGTGTTTCTTTGTATCAACTAAGATCTTTGATGCAAAACTTTTTAAAAATTAATATTTAAATGCAGGTTATCATATCCATTTACTTTATTTTTCGTATGCAATCAACGATATTCGAGCAAGAAATAAATTGATTGAATAGATTGAATCTTTCTATACAATATAAATCATTAAACTATGCAAAAAAACTGCCAACAATTATCTAATTATTAATAGCTATAAAATACCAGTGACTAATGGTTCTACAATGCACCAATCCAATTTTATCGTATAACTATTATCAAAAGAATTATGCGTTGTAATACGAAAAACGATAAAAAACAGTTTTAGAAAAAGTGACGACTTTACGTGTCAAAAATAAAAAGTGACGATTTAATTCATTACTATTGATCTCTGGTAATCTCGCGGCCTCTTTTCCCAATAGGTTGAAATTCCATTCCTCGCCATCCACTCTCCATTTTGGAACCATGTTTCATAAGATATCAGCCAAAATAATACAAATATGAATCCAAGAGCTTTATGAATGCTTAAGGTTTCTTCGTATTGCACGTATCTTCACCCATAATGTAGCTTTTGAAAGTCTTTCACCAAGACTACCTACTAATCCACCGACTTGACCGGAAACGTTGGGTCAATATAATTGAGACCATGAGCTAATGCGCCAGCTGCAAGACCAGGATTCTCAACAATCCAGCTACCTTTTTCTTTAACTTTACCCCATCCAGCTTTAACATAATCGCCGAAACCCATTTATTTCTTCTTAAAAATAATGTCATCTTTTGTTGCTTCACTTCTTTAAACTCGAAAAATTGCAAAAACGTTCCCACTTTTGAGAGGGACGTTTTGCAAAATAATATTTATAAACAGATCTGGAAAGTTTCATTTTTCAGTTTGATAATATATCTAACATCTATATAGGAGTGCCTTTGCTGATTTGACCTGAAAGCGAAAGTTAGTTTTTTGATTTGAAAAAAGCAGGGTTTTCATTCTGGGACTCCTTCGCTTCGCTCGGAGTCCCAGAATGAAAAGCCTGCAATATAATTTTGTTATGGACACAATGTAGATACATTATATAATATCATGTATAGATTCTATCATCTTCCATAATCTTCTTGGATGAAAGAACAAATTTTGCAAAACGTCCCTCTCAAAAAGTGGGGAAGTTTGCACACTCTCCTTTAAAGTCCGTCTTTCCTGCGACTATATGAACTTCCATATATGAACCGAGGTGTTGGTAGCTCTTTGTATTTGTTCCATAACTCTTCCCCAATCTTCTGTTGCCTCCTGACTGTTCAATCATTGGACTGAAAGTCTCTCATAGAATAACTTGAAAGATAACGAAGTCAGTACATAGTCTCTTTATGTTTAAACATATGTGTCTCCATGTTGACACTTTAATTACTACAGTATATATTAATGTCTTACCTTAGTTGATGAAGTTCGCTAATTGGTGAACGTGGGGTCAATCAATAAAGTCATGACCACCTAATCGTCAACACTAAGAGAAGATACTGAGATACTTAGTGAAAGGATATTTGTTTCAACTTCTTTACAACATAAATAGTATCTTTCTTTAACTTCAAACTTATCCACAGGTTTCCTTAGTTGATGCTTTGTTAAGATGTGTTCCATCTCTTCTCT